CTTATTATCAAGGACTAATATTACAGAAGACAGTACTATTGTGGTGACCTAGCGGTGAGATAAGTGTGTGACGTCACTCAGAAAGTCATTACCAAAAAGAAACGCACGTACGATCGGACATCGCCCTTTGACCCCGTGATGTACCTACATACCAGTAACCAACTCAGCCATGGCCATCACCATGACTCAGCAAAGACAACAGTTGTGTTGTCGTCCTGGGATCCACCTTCCGTCGTTAGCTCAGCCTGGAGGACATTTTCAGCAGGTCGGAGGATAGAATGGTTCGATTATATCTTTATATACTCTACCCTACAGTTAGTGGCTAATCAACGGATATAGTCTGCTTGCCCTATTAATTTGATCCTCGGCGGCCTGCCACCATAGGATCTGCTCAGAGATTTAGTAACTCATACTCGCCAGAAAATTCAAGGCCCTACAAAATGTAGCTCTGCTGGTCGTCAGCGCTTGTCACTTTTGATAACAGGGCTGTTCTGTTTATTCAGTCAGTGACGGCAAGGTTACTCTTTAACCTGTTTGATTACCGTGGCAAAGTTGAGCGTAACGTACCGCACCGCACCGGAAGCGGTATGATAGGTGACTACACTTCCGGGTTGCAGATTTTGCACAAACGAACGAAATATTATGGAAACGCTGTTTTACCAATACCTCATTAGCATGTGCCATAGTATGATTTAGGAAATAGCCCAATGTATATTTCATTATCTTTGCAGACCCTAACATAGAACATGATGTCGACCGGTTTCAACCTGTTCCTGGCGGTCGCCGCCATCTTGTCCCAGCACGTCCGAACAGCCGACATCCTGGTCGCGACGTTGATGTTCGGCAGCGCCTGGCTGGACGTGGCGAAGATTGCCGAAGTCTTGGCTTCCCGAGGACACGTCGTCACCGTGTTGGCCCATGCAAGCCAGAAGAGCGACCTGATGCGGAAATGGCCAACATTGCAGTACGAAACATTTGGAGATCCTGGAAAAACACCGGCTGTGAAGGAGTATCTAAAAACTTTGACTCAGACGGTGGTAGGTACTGTTCTCGGGACTACATATACATGTAGTAGCAATTAAGGAGGATACGACAGGGACGATTAATGGGTGTTTTTAGCACAATGTTGAATTCTTCCTTGTAACATCTTATTATACCTCTGGCTTCGGTTGTCAGTGAACGCATGTAGTAATATTGCATTTTGACATCTTTGCATTCTCACTGTTACAGGCGTTTTCTTCATCTGGAGTGTTAGACCTCCTAACCCATACAAACACCTATTTCTCATATATGATGGAGCTTAATGAAGAGACATTGAGTGATACACAACTACTGAGGAAACTGAAGAACAGCCACTATGACGTTGTCCTGACGTATCCTGCCTTCTCTTGTGGGCCCCTCGTGGCGCAGTACTTGGACCTACCGCTAGTCTGCACACTTCGTTCTCTGCCTTTAGGACAGGGTGTGTTTATTACCTTCGCTAAGAAGGTTATGTTTTCAGTAGCGTTTGTTCGTGTGTGTGTGTGTGTGTGTGTGTGTGTGTGTGTGTTTGTGTGTGTGTGTGTGGTTTGGCAAGATAACTCAAGAAGCAGTGAATGGATTGGACTGAAACTTGGTATGTGGATAGGTCTTCATGAGACCTAAAAATGATTAGATTTTGGGCTCCCTGACGGCTTTCCTAGGTAATGTAGCAGAACTTCCGGTTTTGATATCTCACGATCTGGACATGCTAGGGTCACGAATTTTGAATGGCAGATATCTCTTGGGATAGGAAAGAAGTGACATGAGTTTGGGTCCCCTAGCAGCTTGTTCTGGAACTGCAGGAGCATTTGTTGAAAAAAATTTCGAAAGAGGATAACTCAAAAACCGGTTGATTGATTGTCGTGATTTTAGGTATGTAGGTAGTTTAAGTGATGCTTGACATAATCAGATGACAATTATGCAAATCAGGAGCTAATCTGCATAATTAATGAGGAAATTCTATAAATCTGCTTTGTTCGATAATAGAACTATGAAACAGATTATATAAATGAGGACCTAATTTGCATAATTAATGGCAAATTTTTATAATTTCATAGTTGTAACTGCTGGGAATTTCATACTTGCCACATTTGGAAGTGAAGGTGAACAGCAATAAACATAATTTATTCAAATCATGACCTCATTTGTAAGATAAGGCTGTCATTGGGTGGAGAATATGATCAACTGATATAAACCATGCAAGTGAAGAATTTACAAAATCAATGATTAAAATTGTATAATTCGTCAACCGCAAGGGTTAACATCATTTGGCGAAGGTATGAGATCGTGGAACTCTTGTATTTGTACATTTGTACATTGGCCATAATATATAATGCAACATTACCTAAGTCTATGTTCTTGAATGTTGAATGCCAAGAATCAGAACCTTCTAATCCTACCGAAGAATTAATTGAGCAGCTACTAGCTCGCTTGGCCCATTGCCTGGACTCGGTAAGATGAGGGCATCTCCTTTTTTGTCACTCATCTTTTCCAACACACACACACACACACACACACACACACACACACACACACACACACACACACACACACACACACTCTCTCTCTCTCTCTCTCTCTCTCTCTCTCTCTCTCTCTCTCTCTCAGGATTTTCTAACATTTGTTAAGGGCTCATACTAGTTATGGAATTGCTTTTGCGTAAGATATGCCCATTAGCGATTTTTATAACACGTTTTCAGACATCCGAGCCACCGGTGTCCCCAATCCTCTCGCCTACGTACCAACAGTGTTGTCAGGTCTGTCAGACAAGATGACATTTTTGCAGAGAGTGAAGAACGTCCTGGTTTACTTCGTAGCGACCACCATGGCACAGATGGTCATCGACAAGACTTTCGACGATATTGCAAAAAGGTTTGTGAACATATTCTTACGTGCGCACATTCAAAAACTAGTAACGGGGTGTTCAAGTTTCCTTTCAAATCGAAACTTCTGTTTCGACATTCACACTTATACTCACACATATATTGATACATTTTATAAAATAAAAATTTCGTAAAAATTTATTTCATAAAATATGGTTTTGGGATACTGCATATGATTGAAGTGCGTCAGAAAAAGTACACTTAATGTAAGCGCAAATTTTATTACCGTGCATATATGGAGAGAATGTAACATATTTTTCATGATGTTTCAGGATGATGGCGACAAACATAAAATAAAAGTTACTCTACCAGAGTTCGTTAAAGAAACCGCTCAATTTCCAATTACCTGAGCTGACAAATAGTAATAAAATAGTCAGATCAAGAAGGTTATAGTCTGATAAAAATTCAACAAGAGTTCCACGACCTCATACCTTGGTCTACAAAACGCTACCAAAACATAACCTATTTGGCAAACGTAATAAATTGGCAAGTAATGAATAATTATGCAAGCAAAATAGTGCTGCCGCACGTTACATTTGAATCTATGTTCGCTAGATAACACCGTTCCCCATTTGGACAGTAACAAGACGACACTCAGCTGCAGTATCATTATTTTTGTAACCAACAGAACTATTGGCGACAATTATACAATGTCCGCTGCTCTTGCAAGAACCGACGCATGGCTCTACCAATCAGATCTCATGTTCGACTTTCCGAAACCCATGATGCCAAATATGGTCAGCATAGCAGGTCACATGGCAGAGCGAGTCAAGCCGCTCAACGAGGTAGGCCATATAGAAAGAATGCATAATGAATGCAAATGCATAATGTTTACCTTCGCATAGGTCTGCTCTGTTAGGCAAACGCATTCATATGATCAGACAGGAGTCTAAATCCCATCTGCTATTAAATTGCAACATGAGGTAACTCAACACCAGTTACCATGGGGATAGACTGGTTCAGGTCATTGACCTTTTTTGGTTTGGAGAAAAAGAGCTAGGAAGAGGAAACTGAGCAAAAACAATATTTCGGTAAACATAATTAGCGTTACTCAGAGGACTACCGAAGGACAAAAAAAGGTGAAACGTAGTTTGAATAGAAACAAATCCCTTGTAATTACTCATAATATAAACTCATAAAGAAGGGGGGGGGTGAGTTTAGGGGGCCGGCGGTGTCTGGAGAGAGTTTTTAGGGGGGGGATGAGTTTAGGGAGGGGGGGAGCAATTTACGATATTTAACCCTTCTATAATTAGCCTAACTCATATACTTTCCTTTTGATAACATCATAGGCGCTGGAGAAGTTTATGCAGAGTTCTGGAGATGACGGAGTTGTGCTGGTAACGTTCGGTTCCATGATAGCGGCTATGCCCGCAGAGATAGCCGACATGCTGGCCGCTGCTTTTGCCCGCCTGCCGCAGAAGGTCGTGTGGCGCTACACCGGAACACCTCCGCCAAGTCTGGGGCCAAACACCAAAACCATGGAGTGGGTGCCTCAAAGCGACCTGCTAGGTAAGTACTGTCTGCACCCAGTGGAAAGTAATAGTATAAGGCGCGGTTGATAATAAAAATGCTATTTCTATGCTATTATTTAGATACACGAGTTACTGTAATTGCTTTCATCAGAAAGGAAAAAAATCAGTCTGCTTTAGGGAGGGAGACTGTGGAGTTAGCGGCATAGCTCTTGAAGGCATGTATCAATGTCAATCATTTTTTTCAGTAACAGTCCAAAATCAAATAACGTAGGGGGGCTAACACGGGTGACGGCGCGTCTGTAAAATCTGTGGCGAACCCTTTCAGGGAATAATAAAGAGGAGTACAGAGATTTTTTTGTACTCTAGACCAAATTAATTATCTAAAAAAAAATAAAGGATACACATGTTCATTTCTCTAGAACAATGTCCCCCTGACGAAGGTATGAGATCTCCGACCTCTAGTTTATCATTGGAATTACTACCTTAATTTTTCCTGCGTTCATGTATCATGTCCTACAGGGTGATACATCCACAACTTCGCGCTATTCTGTGTAATTTGAATCATACGGTATACTTTGAATCTTTCTTACAAAAAAAAACAGCTCATCCCAAGACAAGGGCGTTTGTATCACACTGTGGCTTCAACGGAGTAGCTGAGGCCATGTACCACGGGGTGCCCGTGGTCGGCATGCCGCTAATGAGCGATGCTCATGACAACATTGCACGGATAGTGGCACGTGGGATGGCGGTGTCACTGGACATCCACACCGTAACGTCAGAAGAGGTGTACCAAACCATCACTACCGTTATTTCAGATCCTAGGTAAGTATGAGTAATAGCTGTCTGCGATATCTCTTTAAATTCGTTTTATTCAACTATAAATGGAACACTCGCTTTGTTCTAACGGCCCAAGATAACCCCAATGGAATACACGTTCTGTTCCAAAGTTCCGCTACGCTCACTCGGTGGTTTTATTTGGTGGTTATAGCAACTGTCAAAGCTTTATCACATCATATACACATCGGGTCATTAGCCTTTAACTATTGACTAATAGAGGTCATACTGATAGAGTGTAGCAATGAAACGTAGTATTGAACTGTCCCTTTGTTTCAGGTACAAGGAGAAAGCCGACAAGGTCTCCTCGCATCTTCGTGACCAACCACAGTCGCCCATGGAGCGGGCAGTCTGGTGGATAGAACACGTCATCAAACATGGCGGCCTCCCTCATCTCAAGTCGAGGGCAGCCGAACTTCCCTTCTACCAGTACTACCTTTTAGACGTCATTGCCCTGATTTTGGCTGTTATATCTGCTGTGTTGATGTCTTGTTGGAAGTGTTGTCCTTTTGCATGTGGCTTGTGCAAGCGGGGTAAGACTAACACCAAACTGAAAAGTCAGTGAGTGACCGTTTTCTAAAGCTAAAGAACAATGACCGACAGCACGTTTTCAAGGTCATTGCTTTTTGAGTGAGATGTATACCATCTAGAAGCAAAGACAGTTAGTTTGTTTGTTTGTTTGTTTAACTACTTTGTGGATTTTATAAAAACGCAAAGTAAGTAGTATTCCACGATCAACTTGAGCAGTAATAGTCATCTTGTGTACAGATTTTTTTAAAGAGTAGAGTAGAGTAGAGTAGAGTTGATTCATGCCGGGTAGGAGTCCTGCTCCAATTTGGGCCGCTCTTCAGTTTACTGACATCTCTGGACGTAGTGGGTGGTCCAAAGCTCTATAATTGTAGACGACCGGGTGTGTTTCCATATACTCGTCAAACCTCTTCTTGAAACTGTTTACACTAGGCGCCATAACTACCTCCCCAGGAAGCTCATTCCACCAGCTTGCCGTTCTATTTGTAAAGAAGTGTAGGCGCATATTTGTTTTTGCCTGCGTCCTCTTTATTTTCAGGTGATGACCTCTAGTTCTCTTCTCTGTTGTTATTGGTAGTAGACATGCTGTATTGTACATCCCGTGTGTGTATTTATAAACGTTGATCATGTCACCCCTCAATCTCCTGTAGACCAGGGTAGGTAGTTTTAGTTTCTTGAGCCTCTCTGTGTATGAAAGATCCTGCAGGCCTGGTACTCTCTTTGTCGCTCGCTTAAATAAACGAGAGTTACAATATCCTTTAAATATGAAGCCAATTGATTCTATGTTTATTAAGGTCAATTCTGTGTACGTGTGTACTTGTAAAAAAAAAAAAAAAGAAACACTAAGCCGTACCCTACACCTGTTTGGAGATTAATAAATGACAATGTGACTTGTTGTTTCTGGCGTTTCTAAAAAGTCAAACCACTTTTCCAAGTTTGGACACTAATACGTCAGTTCTTGTAACGTCAGTACTTGAAACGTTCTTTCAACCAACTTGTATTTTAAGGTTTAAAATACTAACGGGGGGTGCCCTAATTCCGACCCATCCCTAATACCGAACTAGTTTGAAAAATCCTTGTTGCGGCGTTATGCATGGGAGCATGTGCCTAAAAATAATCACAAGAATGGACAATGTTTTTGTGTTGATATCAGTAATCTCACAAAGTTTGTTTTAATTCCTACACTCCGACAACAGACGAGTGAAAAATCTGTGTGAATTCGACGCTTGTTCAGGGGTTGACGAGCATGTCAAAAATGCAGGTTTTGCTTTTCAAACAGCCACTTTGGAGCAAGTCGCGTAATCGTAAAAAGAGGACTTGTTTGGGACAGAAAACAGTTGTAGATTGTTTTAGTCATAATTTGTGTATTATAATTTCTAAACTCTTCTCAGATCGACCTGTGTTAATACACTAGGTCGGAATTAGGGCACCCCTTTTGCGATAGAACGTTCCACCGGCAAAATGACAAAAAAACTACCGTGCGTTTTGTGAGCCATTACGCTTGGGTGCAAGCCGCTACACTGAAGTGAAATACACAGCTGTGCAGCTTTAATCGTTGTGATCTTTATCTGTCAATATTATATCTCATGTTGCGCGGGTTTTTGGTCAGATAAACTATTACCAAAAGTCTGTGCGTTTGCATGGAACATAGGTCGGAATTAGGGCACCCCCCGTTAACGTTTGGTTATAGATTTGGTATAACTTCAATCCTATAACCTATCTTGGTGAACCTTACCTCTCCTGTTTTAGCTTCAATGAAAAGGTGATGAGCAGGCCGATTTATTGAATAAACAAAGTATTTCACGAATAAGTAAAGCCTCCCACAAACAAACAAACAAACGAAGAAAATTTATCTTTAGACACCCCCGCGTCTCTCAATCGCCTCGTCCAGGAGGTCATAGGTCAGACGGCAGCTTGGCGGCAGTTTCGAGTTGGTGACGTCGTCTGTGCTGCTCTCAAACAACAACATCAATATTCATTCTTTACAGATACATATTTACCAGAAACTGACGCTAAAATGTCGCCAGACACCAAATTACATTCCAGGTCGGTCCTCGCAACCAGGTACCGCCCAGGCCGGCAGAGTTTGGGCGATATTCGGCGTTTTTTTCGTCGTCTGGAACAGAAGAAGAAGGAGGCACAAGATGGCGACAGGGGAAGCGAAACAGACAGAAGACCCTGCCCAGGAGAAGCGGGACCGTATGAGGGTCCATGTTATTAAAGAGATACTGAAGACGGAGGAAGACTACGTCCACACCTTAGAATTTCTGGTCACGGTAAAGAAACGTTTTCTGATGGTGTTAGTTATGCGCACAGGTACTTGTATTTGTAGGTAGAAATATTAATTTGATTTGCATTGCACTTTAAAATAACAGTTAACACCCCTATTATATGTTTTGCCATGTTTTTTCATAGAAATTGTATTTATAAAATTTTTCATCATATATTCTGGATTTGTTAAGGCATATTTCCTTTGCTTTCTGAAGGGTGATTAAAAAAAAGCTTTTTTTGGCATAATTGTTAGGCCTTTTTTTAATTTGTCGGCTTTCCTTTGGGTATCCTGGCCAACAAAAGATTTAAAATCTCGGCCAAAACCGATCTAACCTTTTCATGGTGAGTATTTTCTTGGACAGTTTTGACTGGTGAACTGATAAAATCTGGTCCATTTTTACAGGTGGTCACTATAGACAGGATTCTTAATGCTTGTGGAAATGGAAAATTATTCAACAAGAGACCACCAGAAGTGTTCACATTGGCTAGCTGGTCCTTATGTATAATAGGTGGTCACTTGTGCAGGTTTGCGATTATGTCTGGAACCTCATCTCATTTTTGGAGTAGGCCATCCTGAAGTCGTGAAGAGATTGCGTCCAGGGCTCGAAACTAATTATAATACTTTTGGAATGGATGCACAGAAGGAAATAGATGCCATTATGTTGTACAATGTACATGTAACGTTACATGTACATGTGCAGTTAAGTTTACCTATTTTTAAGGCCTTCCTGAAGAGGATGCGTTCTCGCATGGCGACCCACAACGACAAGCTGATTACAGAGGAGACCATCTGGATCCTGTTCTCCAACATCGAGCAGCTGCTGACGCTCCACCAGAAACTCCTCTCCACCCTGAAGGAGGGTCTCCAACCCGAGCCACACGCAGGGCACGAAGTCGGAGCTTGCTTCCTCAAACATGTAGGAAAAATAGGAACATTTTACTTATTTATTCGTTAATGAGGTGATTATTGATGTTTTATAGATCAAGAACAGATACAGTGAGTGAACCATCCTTCAAGAAACTATAAGTCATCAAAAATTTACTTTTGAGAATATTTTGTGGGCTGCTAGTCCTTGCAAGACTGGGATCAATAGATGACAAATCAGATGGTGAGTGCGTGTGTGTTTAGTACATGCAAGGAACATTAAAAAAGAAAAATATTACTAGTAATGACAAAAGCAAATTGAGGAATGCCTGACCCTGCACCAGAAACTCCTCTCCACCCTGAAGGAGGGTCTCCAGCCCGAGCCACACGCAGGGCACGAAGTCGGAGCATGCTTCCTCAAACATGTAGGCTGGGCTCAAAATTTACTATTTTTCAATGATTTTTCAAAGAAATAGAACAAATATATTGAATGAATCATCCAGGATAAGTCCTCAAAAATTTCATTTTGAAAATACAAAGAGAATTTTGTGAGTACAAAGCTTTAATGACAGCATATTTAGTGGGATTTTAACCCTAGTGAGACAGGGGTCAGTGTTTAGTGCTGCAAGGACAAAAAAGGAAAAGAAGTCAAAAATCTTAATACTATGACAATTTTAGCAGAGATGTAAGTTTTCTCGCTGTAGGCCCACCCAGAAAAAACATGGCTGCAGCTCCGAAGGTTATATGAATATATTGAATGGATTACAAAACGCCATGTTGGAAAATTGTCTCTAAAGACAGAGGTGCCAGTTAAATTAAGTTTTTTTTGCAAGCTCCACATTTCTTGTATAAAATCTTTCCATCAATTGATTACATTTTCCTGTTTTGCTCTTGTGTAAGGTATTTTCACAAATTTGTAAAACATATTAAATTATGTTTCAGAGCAGTTAATATGTGGTTTTGTAAACATACTATGCCTACATTTCTGCAAAATCAATGCATTAATTTATAATTTCAGAAATGGGCAATTTGATCAAATTGGTCTGTTGCCTAGACAACTGGAAAATCTATGGGATTATATAACCAATGATTAAATCATAAATACAGTGGGTTGACAGATGAAAACTAAATCTAGAATTTAGTATAAAATAAAATATATAGTATATCATCTTGAAATAAAGACTAAGCTTTAACTTCCAACACTTAGATACAGAATTGGGACTTACCCCAAATTTTCGGTTGACTCCATCAACCTTGTTCACTTTCATGCCCAGTATATCATCTGTCATGATAGACATTTTTTATATGTAATATCTTAAAGTTCTAGGGATTTTATAAGGGACAATTGAATTGAAAGATCAAATGCGCTTTGAATGATGAAAGCTATTTTTCACTATTGAAAAGTACATACATTCAAGAAGGATGAATTACTGTAAATGCATTTACCTTTGCAGTGATTCTAATCTGTTTTAGGAGGGAAAAGGAGGTTTTCTTGTTTTGAGAAGAGAAGTTTGACTTTCAAGAGAAGTTTGCTATTGAAACAATACAGAACAGTACAGTAGAGCTATGAAGCATATTCACGCTTTTATGATTTTATGAATAAGAGGTCAGTTTGAAAGATCCAAAAATGAATCACTGCATTGTGCAATACATGTTGACAGTTGTGCATACGTATGTTGTTCCAGCTGTCAGAGTTCAGTGTGTATGAGATGTACTGCAGTAACCATGAGAAGGCCCAATGGCTGCTGTTGGAGCTACAGAAGGACCCAAACATTAAAGGCTTTCTGCTGGTGAGTCTTCTACTCTTTGATGCAGTGGGTTACAAGTATAACAATGTTTTAACTTTCAAGAGAGCATGTAGGATGAAAATTGGGTAGACGTCTAGTGACGTAGATGCCCGATGTCATTTTCATATGATTGTGAAGTCTGCGTATTGTTTTGTCTTGTGTTGTGTTGTTGGAATCCAGGAAGATTAGACTAATGGATATCCTAATAAAGTATCAAGTATCAAAGCAGAATAAATGACGGTCTGTGTAAAAGGTTTTTTTTATCCAACATTTTGGTGACTGTCATGGTTTTCACATGAAACATTTTGGTGACTGTCAACTTAGTCAGGGAAGAAGGGAAGAAGGTAACAGACGGTCAATGAAATGTCTGATGTAAAAACCCACTGGTTGTTGAACCTTCTTATACAGTCTCATGCCAACCTGATGAAATTATTCACAAATAGCCACATCTAGTAGTCACAGATAAATGGCCTTCATATAACTTGAAAAAAAAAATGGTTGGTCCTACAGGTATCTTATCGCTATGTACCTGACATGACAGTAATGTACACAATGTGAACATGTGCAATGTTAGTGTTACTGTAACTTGTCTGCTCCACATTTCCAGGCCTGTATGTTGCTGGGAGGCCACAAGACCACAGATGTCCCACTGGAGGGATATCTCCTGTCTCCCATCCAGAGGATCTGCAAGTATCCTCTTCTACTCAAGGTATGGACCCTTCTTTTGGATCAATGTGGGGTGGGTTCCTTTAGATGCTCAAGGTGTGGCCCTCCTTAAACAGGGGGCCTCTGGCTTAACGTCCCTTCAAAGAGGACGTCCCTAACTGAAGCTTATAGGTACTCATTTTCACCTGCTGCAATGCATGCCTATAAAGCTGGAGTATTACTCCAAAGGATGGTTATACTGGCTACACCAATACAGATAATGTTACACATTTAACTCTACAGTTTCATAATAACCTTACGGTTTTCCTTTTTCTTCTTTACTGTAACACTGTACCAGGAGTTCAGGATACAGAGATTTCTTTTACACAACGAATATTGTCTCTTACCTTGCTTACGTTTTGATGTCTATCAGACACCTTTCTCAGAGCTTCTGACTGGAGTTCTGCTTCTTGCCGCTATATGTAACTAATGTAGGTGGCGCTTTTGCGGCGAGAACACAATCCCAAACTTGGCCGAGTTTGTACCCCCCCTTACGTTCTCCGATACCGAAACGTAAGCAAGGTAAGAGACAATATTGGTTGTGTGAAAGAAACCCCTTATCCTTAACTCTACAAACCCGATGAAACTGATTTCGGATGTGCCATGTACCAGGAGTTGCTGAAGCAGACAGTATCGACCCACCCTGACATCGACCATGTGAAGTCTGCCCTGGTGGCCATGAAGGACGTCTGCTCCAAGATTAACGAGACCAAGCGCAGGATGGAGAGTCTGGAGGCTCTGGAGGAGTGGCAGTCTAAAGTCGAGGGATGGGAGGTGCGTGGAGCAATCTATCAATCATCAATTAATCAAAATGTTTATTCATTATTTTCAGTCTAGCAGGAGACAAACTGTAATTTCCAACACAAGAAAATTGGGAGTTACCCAAATGTTCTACCAGCCAACTCCAATCTTTGCCAAGGAATGAGCAATCCACCTCTCGATTGCTCATTCCTGGAGATTACAGTTGGGAAGTCAAAACTTTCTTGTGGAATGTGTGTATTTCAGTATGCAAGTATTTCAGCACCAAGGACAAGCACGGCTGTATGTTACCTTCTCCCCGCTGTCTTGTCCCTTAACCGATAGAGAATCTAATCAAAGCCAAATGTGTTTAAGCACAGCTGTATTTATACCTGTATTTGCAACAGCTTTCTTCTGTTTGTTTTCCTGTCCAGGGATCAAACATCACGAACACCTGCACAGAGCTGATAAAACAGGGCATGTTGCTGAAGATTTCAGCACCAAGGACAGGCACAGCCGTATATAAGCTTGTATTAACACAGCTTTTTCCTGATTGCTTTTTTTTTTGTTCAGGGGTCGAACATCACGAACACCTGCACAGAGCTGATCAAACAGGGCCGTATTTAACCTTCTCCCTGCCACCTAAACCTGTAACAAATAGAGGATTAATAGCCAAATGACTGGTGTATAGGTTAAAACTATTAAGTTCTTTTGCCTTTTTGGTTGTTTTCTGTGCAGGGATCAAACATCACGAACACATGCACAGAGCTGATCAAGCAGGGCATGTTGCTGAAGATTTCAGCACCAAGGACAGGCACATATACACTGTATATAAGCTAGTATTTACTACTTTTGTTGTCTTTTCCAGGGATCTAACATCACCAACACCTGCACAGAGCTGATAAAACAGGGCATGTTGTTGAAGATTTCAGCACCAAGGACAGGCACAGCTGTATTTGTACTTGTATTTACCATACTTCTGTTTGCTTGGTTTTTTGTTGTCTAGGGATCTAACATCACCAACACATGTACAGGGTGAGCGACTTGGAATATTTCAGTATATAAGTATTTCAGCACCAGGGACAGGCACAACAATTATAGCACCAAGGACAGCTGTATTTGAACTTGCATATACTACTTTCTTACATTTATTTTTTATCAAGGCCAGGTTAAAAGGACAGGGAAAGGATCTGGATATTCCAATTTACTAATATTTTGGCACTAAGGATAGGCACAACTGTATCTAAAGTTGTGTATACCACTTCTGTTTCTTGTCCAGGGATCTAACATCACGAACACCTGCACAGAGCTGATCAAGCAGGGCATGTTGCTGAAGATCTCTGCAGGAAACGTGCAGGAGAGGGTGTTCTTCCTGTGTGACAACCTGCTGGTCTACTGCAAGAAAATACCCTCCATATCAAAGTCAGTTCATCTGATTTTGCTAGAAAAAAATTTATTTCGATTTTTCTGCTCAAAATAAAGGAGTAACATTCCCTTTGGCAAGGGCACAACACTGGGGCCTGCAAGATTTGAAACCAGAACCTTTATGTTCTAAGTCAACAACCCTAACAACAAGATGACCTTGCCTCCATTTTTTTAGATATGTAGACAGCAAAGAAAAATTAATATTCCTCATGCAACTAGATAAACCATGTATTATAAGACCCCATTTGTTCTTACAGTTACAACTGTCTTAAACTTGAACCTGTACATTCCAGTACTGGTATACATGTACATTACACATTCATATATATGGTGACACATTCATATATATGGTGACACATTCATATATATGGTGACAGGAGTCTAAATCCCTCCTGCTATGAAATTGCAGCATGATGTAACCCAACACTAGTTACCATGGTGATAGACTCCGTGGCCCAGGTTATTGACCCTTTGTGTTTGGAGAAGAGGAAACTGAGCAAATACAATATGTTTTCCTTTGGTAAACATAATAAGGATTTTCATTCATACTCTGTTTCTCCCACCCACAGAAGAGTGATTGGTAAGAAGACCCTGACCAAGCGACAGTCTATCATGATGCAGCAGCTGCAGCTCCCGTCATCGCAGGAGACAAAAGTCCAGTACGAGTACATCTTCAGGGGCAGGATCAGCACTGAACTCATGGAGATAGAGAACATTGAGGATGGAACTGGTGAGTTTATGGTTTTAAAGTGCTAATGCATTACCAGGGGGTCCAAAATCTGATTATTTCTTTCATAGGTCAAATCATACCCACCCACCAAGTTTCACGACAATCCATCCAAAGCTTCTTGAGTTATTGTGCTAAACCACATCCAGACATTCAATCAAATGCTACTGTAAACGTTATAACCTTCTACAGAACATTGAGGACGGAACTGGTAGGGGTTATAGTGAAAGATAAAATAATCTCAAAACAGTTCACCAAATGAAGTCAAATGAACTTAATGAACAGCTGAGCTACATATGCTCTTTTACTGCTCATGACAGAGAAGACAAATGCTGTGTACAGACAGTATTTACTGGTTCATTGTATGGGGAAATTCCCCTACATGTAGCTCTTTTCACAAGCACAACGAACAGCTCAACATCCCATCCTTAGGACTGTTACCCAGTGAGTTTCCAGTAGTAGCAAGCATGTCATGTGAGCAACAACTGTCGGGATTCAAACTCACGACCTCTTGGTTTAAAGGTGTCTGTCTTCCTTGTCAAGGCAAGTGAAAATGGGGGCTAGTGGATGAGTAGGCACAACTGTTAGAGTTTTACAGTTATGAACATATGAATCCTGTTTTCCAGCTGACTTCCACAGTAGTGGGTACACGGTTACCAACGGCTGGAAGGTCCACAACAATGCCAAGAACAAGTGGTTCGTCTGCATCGCCAAAACTCCGCAGGAGAAACAGGAGTGGCTGGAGGCCATCTACCAGGAGAGGGAGAAAAGGAGAAGTATGTTCAGAGCTTGAAATACTTTTTTCTACATACCTGTGATAGTGAAGGTAACATTGAAAATGTTCTGCACCAGACAATTTTACCTCCGCCGCTCGGAATTTAGGATGTAACTTACATTATGTATAATTACACTGAAACTGTTCAGAAACCATTGCCAGTATTTCTTTTACACTTTACTCACGTAGGTGGTACCTGTCAATGCTGCAAATAAAAATCCACATACACCTATTTTGTATATGAGTCTAGTATATGGACCAGTGAAGGTAGGCATCAGAAACACCTACACAGCCCCAATTTTACCTGCACTAACCTGCATTTGGCAAATAGGACAATGTCTAAAAATTCCTTAGACAATAGAAATTATAAATCTCATCCCATACTACATAGTCTTTGGTAAGGATTCATCTCATACTATGTTTGTTGTCTATGGTCCTTGAAGTGCTATGTAGTGGAAGATGCCATATGATGGAACCTTGTAGATATGTTTTGCAATAAAGCAATAAAGTTTATTATTGTTGACTGATCTGTGTTTCTTGGCCAGGTGTGAAGCAGTCCCTGCAGAGAGACACGTGGAACCTGATCTCTGAGAAGGGCGAGCGGCTCTACCACCTGATGAACCGCAACACCAGCCTCATCAGGGACAGGAAACATCATCTCAGGACTTACCACAAGTGCTTCGTAGGCAGGTCTGTCAAACTCTCTCCCCCTCCTCTCTCTCTCGCTCCCTCTCTCTGTCTCTTTCTCTCTCTCTCTCTCTCTCTATTAAGTACCACCTGATGAACCACAACACCAGCCTCATATGGGACAGGAAACACCACCTCAGGACTTACCACAAGTGCTTTGTAGGCAGGTGGGAGGAAGACTCCGATCTCTCTCTCTTCCTCCCTGTCTCCCTCTCTCTGTCTGTCACTACATAACCCTAACCTCCCTCTGTCTCTCAGGACTTCCTAACTCAAACCCGAACTCTAACCTAACCCTAACCCTACCACCTGATGAACTTGAACACCAGCCTCATCAGGGACAGGAAACACCACCTCAGGACTTACCACAAGTGCTTCGTAGGCAGGTGTGTCTCTCTAGTGCTTGCCAACCCTAATCCTAGCGCTAACCTAACCATAACCATTACCATTACCATAACCCTACCACCTCATGAACCGCAACACCAGCCTCATCAGGGACAGGAAACACCACCTGAGGACTTACCACAAGTGCTTTGTAGGCAGGTCAGTCTCTCTCGAGATCTCTGTCTTTCTTTCTCCACTCCCTCTCTCTCCATCTTTCTCTCCCTCCCTCCCTCTCTCCCTCTATTTCCTCCCCTCTCTCTGCATCTCTCCATCTCTCTCCCTCTCTTTCCCCCTCTCTCTCTCTGCATCTCTCTCTCTCCCTCTCTCTCACTCTCTGCATCTCTCCCTCTCTCTCTCTCTCTCTCAGTTAGGAACTTGCATTGCTTTTTCATGTAAAGTGATGGTTGTTTTTTATTCTCCGCTCCAGTGAGTTTGTCTCCTGGCTGAAGGGTCAGGAAAGCACGTGAAGTGATGATTGTTTTTTATTTCCTGCTGCAGTGAGTTTGTCTCCTGGCTGAAGGAGCTGGGAGAGATTAACTCCGTGGAGGAAGGAGTTCACCTGGGACAGCTGCTACTGGAGAACGGCATTATACACCATGGTGGGCAGCAGCAGCAGCAGCAGTAGCAGCAGCAGTAGTAGTAGCCTTAGTAGTAGTAGTCGTAGTAGTAGTAGTAGTAATAGTAGTAGTAGTGGTAGTAGTAGTGGTAGTAGCAGTAAGAGTTGTAGTAGTAGTAGTAGTGTAGTAGTAGTAGTAATAGTAGTAGTAGCAGCAGCAGCAGTAGTAGCAGTAGCAATAGTAGAAGCAGTAGTAGTAGTAGTGGTAGTAGTAGTTAGTAGTAATAGAGCTGGGAGAGATCAACTCTGTGGAGGAAGATGTTCATCTTGGACAGCTTCTGCTGGAGAACGGCATCATTCATCATGGTGGGTACATATCGTATTCAGCACTGTGCAGCATCAGGCACGGTTTTGGATAGTCTCCGCGTATCCGAGAATGTAGATTTGCTCCAGGCACGTTTCTGGATATGCACATCTAGAATTGTGACTGAAAATGGTTCTTGAAAAAGCCCAGGTTTGGATACAACAGTATACAGAGCAAACTGCAAGACCTTAACATATAAACTGGGCTCGAAATACTTTTTACATGCATGCAACATTGAAAATTACCTGCACCACTCAGAATTTAGGAACTATGGATCATACGAAAAACTATTCAGAAACCATTGCCATTATTTCTTTGTTACTTGAAATCAATTGGTGTTAACAGTAAATGCAGAAAATGAAAATCCACACACACATCTTCATGTAGTACAGTATAAACTCAGGCACAACACTATGATAGCTACTTCAGCACCAAGGACAGGCATAGCTGTAACCCCTTAACCAATACCTAATAGAGAATTGGTAGCCAAACAGCAACTTTTGTGTGCTAAGGGTGAAAAAGCATCTAGAAAACCTAGATTTTATTTATTTACATGATTTTTTTTGCATCTCCCTTCCAGTTGTTTACAAACACCACTTCAAGAACGAGCCCCTGCTGTACAGGTTCCGCTACGACGACGGAACGTACAAGGCTGTATTTAACCATCTCATTGTTGTTCATAACCAACAGAGAATCAGTATCAGCTAGTGTGCAAAGGGTAAAAACACATATAGAGAACCTAGATTTTATTACATGACTTTTTTCTTCTCCATTCCAGTTGTTGACAAGCACCACTTCAAGAATGAGCCTCTGCTGTACAGGTTTCGCTATGACGACGGAACGTACAAGGGTCGGAGCGAGATGCAAGACATGATCGCAAAGGGCATCCACATCTACTGTCGCCTGCACGGACTGTTCAACCCTCTTATCAAGTAAGACCTTTTTCCACTACATAATGATCACTGAGCAACCAAAAATGAACTCGTGCGATCCTTGATTTTATAGAAATAATATGACTTTAAAGAGAAGAAAGCACACAAACTGTAAGAAAAGTCGTTCTTCATCTGTGAAAATCCTTGAGCGATCTGTCAAATTGTTGGTCGCTCAGTAGTCGTAGCCTCTCGCTGCAAGAGGTTTTAAGAAACACTCGGTATGGACTCTTGTTCAATGTAGGCAAAACAATTATCATACATGTAGTCAAAAAAACTTTCAAACCATATAGTCACAAAATTTTCTCTTCTTTAAAGTTATTTTCTTATGTTTGTAAACCAAGCCTTGAATTTTGAATAATGAACCGAGTTTTTTTTACATGTTTCCCGCAGGAATAAGGACCACTACCTGCGGACTCACAAGTCCGTGATGGTGGCCAGTCGTCTGGTGGACTGGCTGGTGGAACAGGGTGACTGTAAGACCAGGGAGGAGGCAGTTATGCTGGGACAGGCTCTCTGTGACAGTGGCTTCATGCACCATGGTAAATCTGTATCTATAGTTTTTGTGTAGCTGGTATAACCACTTTTCGGTGTAACACACCAGCTTCTGTAACACGCCAGCTTCTGTACCTGTATAGCCGGTATAACCGTCCTTCGGCATAACATACTTGCTGTGATATGGCTACTCTGTTGATTTTTCTTGCTTGATTATGTCCCCCCCCCATCATTGTTGGAGAAGTACAAGTTTAAGGATGACTCCCTGTTGTTCTATGATAACTGTTTGCTATCTGTTGGTTCCAGTGTTGGAGAAGTACAAGTTTAAGGATGACTCGCTGCTGTTTCGGTTCTATGCTGATGAGGAACTGGAGGGAATCGCAGCTCGAGGGAAACAGCCTGCCACTGGGGGGAGTGGGGCTGCTGCTGCTGCAGCTAAAATGGTACACAAATAATCTACTCCTGTTTTCAGCTAATAGTAAGGTAAAGGTAAAGGCCCCACAGCCTACTATCAATCAATCAATCAATCAATCAAAAATGGTTTATTGCTAAAATCACGAACATTGCAGCAAAAGCTGAATTGCGTTCAGAGATGTTCATCATTTCTTTTAAAAACATTAAAGTCTGCACAGTCAACATATTACACACATTTAGCATAACAAGATTAACCACTACTAGAGGTCGTAGTGGCTGTAGGTTGTTAATTAACTGTGTCTAGAGCACGGTATTGGAAGCTGTAGTGTAGCCCATCCTTCTGCTTCCACTGTCTTTTACCTCCCCAACCAAAGTCAGGTGCCCATTTACCTGGATCTTGGTGGAGTGAGTTGTGGGTGACGACTGTCCTGTTAAGGCATCAAATTTGCTTTTAATGTTGAAGGATGCAGGCAGCCAGGAAAAGATTCATGGAAATACATGTTGAGAACAGAAGAGATAAAATTCAAATAAAGGATGGGATCTATTTGTTGAGTATGCAAACAGTAGGCAACGTTTCATTAGAGTATTCAATCGTTTTTGTTGATCTCTGTTCTGTGAAAATAACAAAAATATTTCCTGCTGGCAGGATTTCCGTCAGGTTGCCGGCTTCATGGCGAGGACCCTTGCTGTCCCTGTGCATGATGGGAAGGTTGGGTTCCATCTGGAGAAGGCAGACCAGGGACTGTTGGTTGTCACGGTAGCGGACCAGTCTCCTGCTCAGGTTTGTTTGTTTGTTTTATTAACTGCCCAGTCACTAAATGCCAAATATTTCTCACATTCTTAGTTATAGCCTGTGTCCCTGTTAGGCTGATTAGTCCTCCTCCCTGAGAGCTTGTGGCCACACACCTTTAACTCCCATTCCCAGAAATATTGGCACCAATGTGAGCTCAGGATTCCCATCATTATGAAAATCAGTCTAATAGGAGCTTAGCACATCTGCATAAATCAACATAATTAAACTGTTCCCAATTCTCCTGACTTAGAGGTGTTGGTTATCAAGCTCCTAGGGGCCTGACCAGTGGAAGGGCTGCTAGAATTTTGATGTAGTCAGACTTTGTCACAGAAAATTTTTTACCTGTAACAGCTACATTGGTTTCAGCCTATAGAGTATAAGGACTTCTGTCAGCCCTACCAAAACGACTTGTGTTTTTCCCTGCACAGAAAGCCCGTCTGTACCCAGGCATGATGGTGAAGGCCATCAATGGCCACTACTCCTTAAACCTGACTTCCTCCAACATTAAGGCCCTCATCAAGGCTGCCTGCACACAGAGTGGCATCCTCAATGTCACAGTCGCAGCTCAGCAGCAGGAGTGAGTGTTTGTTTGTTTGTTTCACATAACCGGTAAACCGCCTTCAGCCTTAAGCACACCAGTTCTGTACTTGTAAGTACAAACTTGTAAGTATAAGCTCTGGGAAGGACCTGTACTCTTTTTGATAAGTGCGGTGAGATCTTAAATCAGGGCTCTAGCCAGAACCCGTTTTGCCGTAAATTAAAAGCCAGGAACTTTGTGGCATGTGACAGGAAAAATTTTAAACCACTCCCCAACCACTCAGCAAAAATCTGGGATAAAATATTAAAAACATCCAAAGGACTGCCAACAACCTCTCTCAAAAGCTTTCAAGCTGGCTGGAGCCTTGGTATAAATCTGTGGTAGTGTTCGTATTCCAGTGGTTAGCTACCCTGTCTCTGAGGTTGAGAGTTTGAATCCCAGCCATTGTCACTCACCTGACATGTATACTACTTGAAAGAGATACAAGTTTTAAAGGAGTACTAACCTCCAGAAGGAGGTGCTATATTTCGACAGGCATTTATTTTTGGAAGTGAAAAATGCATATTATTTTACAGTATACAATTAAATGCCCATTTTGCGCGCAAGTCTTAAAACGCATCGAATCCAGGACAAACTTTCGAAATACCCTCAAAACTATCCCAGAATACACCACGCTACCCCATTGGTGTCTATGTTTTAAACAAAAAGTTACGTTACAGACCTCATTTCGGGGGCGATAAGAAAAATTCGTACCGTTTTGTGTTCTTTGGTATCTTACCAACCATTGCCCTTCTTGGTGTCCTTATCGCCCCTCATTTATGCCGCAAATATTGACGATGAAAAAAACGGCGTAATCTAGTTATCCTTTCCATAAGTGGCGTAATCTAATTATCTGTTCAAGTAATACTTACATGATGCAAATAAGTCAAAGAAAATCAAAACATGCAGGGTGAAACTAGCGCCCACTGCATTAGACATCCTGATATTATAGTATCCAAACCGCAGGTAAAGCAAAGTAAAGCAAGTAATTTCTCAATAATCAGCTTATTAGTGTGCTTGTCTCCTACCATTTTCGTCCAAAAATGTTTATGTTGACCTGAAGTGTATGAGCATTGCGTAAGCCAGAGTTCCCGGATGTATCAATTGTGGTTCAGCATGGGGGAAAATGATATTAATATCACTTTACAAACATGCGCCAGGCAACTCGTACAAGCGAAATTATGTAAAAAGTTGGCTAGTTATGTATTCATTGCAGCATGATGTATCGGAAAACAGCACTTCCTTCTGGAGGTTAGTACTCCTTTAAAACAACAATACACTCATGTATGATGTAGCGTTGTGTCTGTCCCTGGTGCTGAAATATTGCAATATCCGAATCCCTTTCTCTGTATTGTGAACCTCACCTTGATAAAAACAACCAAACAGTAGTCTATACAAGTTGGAATATAACTGTGCCTGTCCTTGGTGCTTAATTAATTACTGGTTCCGAAATACATACTTTTCATGTATTGTCTTGGAAATAAGATTCAGTAGTTGTTGATTAAAGGAAATATTATCTATTTGTCTAATACCTAAGTTGGTTTCCTTGGTATATTTCACATTGCAGCACTACATCCATTGTCCAGGCCAGACAAGACTTAGGTTTCCAGGTGCGAGGCAGTAACCCATGTGTGGTTCACCTGGTCAAGCCTGGTAGGTCTTGTTATACAGTCATAACTTCCGTGTACAGAAGAATTGTTTTGGGTGGCTGACTTGCGGGTTTGTCCCTCTGTTTGTCCAGTTTGTGTTTTGGCGTGTGGGAGGTGGTTTTGACAGTTAATTGAGAACACCTGATTTTGTCTGAAATAGCTGAAGATAGAACAGAGTGGAAAAGACTGACCAAGAGGCTGACAACATACAGGCCTAAGGCCTAAAGGCGTCAGGGTGAGAAGGTGAGAATTGAGAACACAATGAAGCACACTGGTGGAGGAATTCAGGCAATACCCCTTGGACATCTGAAATCTTTGATATATAATATATTGTGCATATGTATGCTCTAGTTTTTTTCACTGTCAAAAAGGGCACACCTGTTGTTTTCTGTCCTGATTTGTCTTTGCTCCTTTACCACAGACAGTCCAGCGGGGAAAGCGGGCCTGTTCCCAACTTATTCAGCCTGTCACTCCAGATGTCTTACTGAGGGATGACTGTGGTGTGCTAGATGTCGGTTAGCTTGAGGAATGAATACACTCTACTTTATTTACAGTTACAATCTGTATTTTTCTTCACCTCAACAGATAGTCCAGCAGGGAAAGCAGGCCTGTTCCCAGGACAGAGCATTTTACAGGTGAATGGGAAGGATGTGTCCTGTGCCTCTCATGACACGGTTGTCTGTGCTATCAAACGCATCTCCCACGGGCTCATGAGGGCCAAGTCAGAGGTAATGTCAAAACTTTTGAAACTTTGCCTTTCTCAAGTATTTCAATTTTAATCCGACACCATCCTTTGAATATTTGATTGTTTGATATTCATAGCTGCTACATGTTATATACTGGTATGCTGATTGTAAATGTTGTAAATCAATTCAGTCTGATGGCTGCCATTGTTGGATTTTGGAAGTATGTCTTCTCAGTAGACCATTCTACTACTCCTACTCCTACTACTACTACTACTGCTGCTGCTGCTGCTGCTGCTGCTACTGCTACTTCTTCAATATCCCAACTTAAATTGGGATAAAAGGGATTTTCGATTTTGAGAGAGATGTTTTTGGTACACCTCAATAGAAAATGCCATGTCTGTGTAATGAATTTTGTTGTCTTCACAGGGCTCGAAATCCTGGGTGCATGTGCACCTTAGTGCACCCAAAATTGGAGCTGTGCACCCAATTTGTTTGTGGGTGCATCAGTGCACTCAAATATTTTTGTAGTTTTTTTTTTTGTACATATTAAATGTAACGTTATACAGTAATACTGGATATTCTTGGCATCTAAGTGGGTCCTAAGTTTGAGAAAATCTTTGTTGAAGTACTTGTTTTAGATTTTGAAGTTGGCTCCCATTTCAGATTCAACCTCAGAAGAGGAACAGTAAGATCTGTAATTAGGTTTTGTTTTATATGGTGCACCCAAAATATTTTCTGTGCACCTAATTTTCTAATTTTTTAGGTTGAGTGCACCAGTGCACCTATTCCCAAAAAAGAATTTTGTTGTCTTCATATTACTCAGGTATTTGTGTAATTTCTGTTGCAGACTCACATGCATCGGATGGGAAAGTCCATCCACCGCAAGCGTCTCTCTCCTGTCAACAGTGTGCAGGAAACTTTCAGGAAGGACTCCAGCACTGATCATGTTGAACCATCAACATCTCAGGGTAGGAACAGGGCTTAAGGCTAATTTTTCTGCATACTTGCACTGGTGCAGGCAACATTCAGCATATATTCTTGCACTGGTGCAGGCAACATTCAAAATTACCTGCACCAGACAAGTTTTACTTGTACTGCAGTTTCTTTGCCTTTCAGTTCAGCAAAAAATCAAAATGTTCCAAGTAACACTGGTTTAGAATTCTTTACAGTTTAATTAAATCTATATCTGTATAGTCGGTATAACTGCTCCTCAGCGTAACACAGGCACGCGGTGGGGCGGCAGTTAGCTATATCACACCAAACCACCCGTTACGCCCAATCTTTGCACATTTAACTGCAGGAGTTCTTTAAAGCTTTCTAGTGAATGATGCCCCAACTGTGCTTGGTGGCAACAACTGCCACTGTACAATTATATAGTTCTTATATTGTCTGATGCAAATTGCTACCCTTTTCTACCCTACAGAGCCAGGAGGTGAGAAGTCTGACTCTAACGGGGCCTCACCGGGCGACAAGTCTCCCTCGTCCCCGCGCCCGCTGTCCCAGACTGTCACAACTCCCACCAACAAAGTCACCCTGCAGGGTAAGGCCTGCTTTCCCCCGGACAGTGATTGCTGTGCGACCATTGAGCGAGCAAAATTTTATTTTCATGACACTTGATTTCATACTGAAATATGAGGCATTGGGTAAAGGTATGATTTGAAAGACCACAAGGCAAACAGAGCATGCAAAATTTGTTCTTTCTTTCTTTATTGACAATGACAACAGGTCAAGACACAGATTTTCTTTATGTATGAAAATCATTGAGCAGTCTGTTGATCAGCGACATGTCTCTAGTGGAAGGGGGGAGTATGCAACAATGGTCTCATACATGTACGTACAGTGTATTTTTTATGGACACATGTAAAAAGTGCCTGTAGGTCTGCATGTATATGCTCCTGCCTTACATATCTATGATTAAGGATATTGTATCTCCCCTACAGTACAGAACAGTGGACTGGAGCACTATGCTGTGTACGAGTACGAGGCCAGTGGTGGGGTCAGGTATCAGGTGCTGGAGAGTATGAAGGAGTCAGACACCACCTTCACTATTCCTGCTAAGGTACTTACTTACCGTCTTACCGGTCTCTTGACCGGGGGTGGTCGTGGGGGCACCTAGTGGCTGAGCACACTGCCTTCCTCCATCCCTCTCTGTCATGAGCCAGCGCCTGGGCACTGGCAAGGGGCAAACCGGTCCACTCCTTGACGTTGTTGCCCCATTTCTTCCTTTGTCTCTATCTCTTTCTTTTCCCTGGCACTGTTCCTTGTAGTATAACTTCGGAGAGGCCTTTACTTCTAGTCACATAGCCGTACCATTTTAACTTTCTTCTCTAAGCAGGGCTTACTCGATGATACTTAGCAATATTGCCTGCCTGCCTGCCTAAGTCCTTAGGCCAGTAACTGGCCCCTTGCTCCCTTTGTGAGTTATCTCCAGGCTTTCTGGTCCCTGGCCCTTAGTGATACATGTATTAGCTAATACAATTCTTTTTTTATGGACTACCCCCCTGCTGTAGTGATTGCACAACTGTGTGACTATTGAAATGGAATTCTGGTGCAGGTAAGACGTTAACTAACTAATAATCTTGTCCCAGCTGGTGAACCTGTACTTAGAGGAAGACCAGAAGTTCCTGGCTGACAGGGGCACTAACCACTGAAATACACACCACTGTACATACATACATACATAATCATACTCAGAGAGCAGAAGCATTAACATAGTTCAGCTTCCAGCTTTTTCTATCGTACATCATTTCTGCAACTTCTTTTTCATACAGACCAGTCTCTAACTCTATAATGTCCTTTTGTGTGTTATAGAATTAGTACACCACATAGTGTACCTATGTGTAGGTATGTGTTGTTTTGAGAGTCTCCACTGCCATGTTTTTACCCAGTTGGTGAACCTGTACCTTGAAGAAGACCAGAAGTTCCTGGCTGAACTCGAGGCCCTCCCGATCCCCCCCAGAATGGATGAGGGACAGAAGGCGTGGCTCGTCATGGCTAAGGACAAGTGGAAGGAGATTCTTCAGAGGAAGATCAAGGCTTACCAGAAGGTCCGACATTCTTCATTTTTATCGTTGAAGAGATTCATTTCATCACGTATAGATACAGTTACTAAAGGATTCTTTCAGCAGTGACAAGTTTTTGAAGGGTATCTCCAAATTTTCGATGACTATCAGTCCATCTTGTTCTCGCGAGATTAGGCCACTCCGTGAACTAGAATGGACTGATAGTCATTGAAAATTTGGAGGTCAGTATCCTTACCCTTCAAAAACTTGTCACTGCTGAAAGAATCCTCTAGTAACTCTTCATTTTTAGTTTTTTCAATTGTTATTAGATTTCTTCTGAATCAATTCTTTGTCTTGAATTCACATAAAGTAGGACCAGTCAGTAATGTCCTGTTGAAGGTGACAGATGGTCACCAACATGTTGGTTAATTAATAATTTTGTAAATTCCTTTGGTTGTGAATAAAGAACATTGTTATACAGGTAACAGTCACTGAAGCAACTGGATAGGTTATGAAAATGGTGAGACGTTTCAACTAGGATCCACTGCCTTTCATCTGTGACTTCCACCTGAAAAGTCTGACCAATTTTAAAATCCATCCAATTGCTTCATTAACTGTTACCTGCTAGTAGGTACCTCATTACCTGGATGTCTAACCTTCATCAACGTAACTTGCATTTGTCATACAGTATGTAGTAGAGTAAGGCATCTGGAGCCTGTCACACAACCGGTTTCACCTGTGTGGCTTCTTCAAGTGTACAGAGACTAAATGACAGGCTGAATAAAAGTTCTAAATGGGAACTATGAGGCTACAGGTGTCTTTGAGGGACGACTGCGTGTGCAAGATGTCGGTTAGCTGAGGAATGAATCCCCTCTACTCTATATTGCATTTGTCATACAGTTCTCGAGGTTGCTGTCCAACCACATCTGGCCGTCCTTCAAGGCGGTTCGCATGAGACAGAACCCTCCCCTCAGTATGGACTTCTGTCCGATGAACTGTCACCTGCAGACCCTGGACATCAGCGAAGTGGTACCAACTCTCTCCCTCCCTCAACAGCCACAGGAAGAACCAGGGACTGAGGACACAGAACCACCGGCTGGTAGGACTTAATAGTAACTCTAATAGAAAGCCCTAGCCCTAGCCCTAGCCCTAGCCCTAGCCCTAGCCCTAGCCCTAGCCCTAGCCCTAGCCCTAACCTGGACATCAGCGAAGTGGTACCGACTCTCTCTCTCCCACAGCAGTCACAGGAGAAACCAGGGGCAGAGGACACATGTACAGAGCCACCGGCTGGTAGGACTTAATAGTAACTCTAGAAAGCCCTAACCCTTACCCTAACCCTAACCCTATAGCCCTAGCCCTAACCCTAACCTAACCCTGACCCTGACCCTGACCCTAACCCTAACCTGCACCCTGACCCTAGCCCTAGCCCTAACCCTACCCCTAGCCCTAACCCTAACCTAACCCTAGCCCTAACCCTAACCCCTAACCCCTTACCCCTAACCCTTACCTTAACTCTTGCCCTAGCCTAATATGTTGAAAATATGATATAATTGATTTCAGATATCTGAGATGCAGGGGACTAAGTTTTTTCATGTTTTTTTCTTTTGTTGCCAAGGTGTGTGATCTTAGGGAAAGGAGGTTTGAAATTGAAGGTCTGATTTCTCGTTTTTCACCTATGTAGATGGCTCCAACCCTGGGTAAGGGTTAGGGTAACTACAAGGGTTAGTGTTAGGCTAAGGGTTAGGTTCGAGTTCAAGTAAAAAGAAGGTTCAAAATCTCATGTCTCTTATTTTTCTCCCACATGTACATAGATGGCTCCAACCCTGTGGCCTGTGAGCACACTGCCTGCACCATGGTGACTCTAGCTGCCCCTGCTGCCCATGCCATGGGGCTGGGTAAGGGAGGTCTACAGGACATCGTGGGAGGCACGAAGGACCTTCAGGACTCCATGCACAACATTCTGTGTGTCCTGGAGTCGGCAGTCCGCGATCTGGACCACAAGGAAGAGACCATCATCAAGTAAGTACGTCAAAGAAGGTTACACATCCAGGTAATAGGCTACCTAGTAAATACTCTTGAAAGCATCTGCTTTGAAACAGGTTTCTTGACTCCTCACCCATACATTTTACTGTACCAACATTCCCATGAACTGTCTGTTGTCTTCATTAGGGCAAACTATGCCGATCTTTGTTTAAGTGTGATGTCATGCATTGTTGGGCGATATGATGCTTTCCCGAATGTGACTCTATGCCATGTTTGGCCCAAAAATGCCAAAAGATTACAATAAAATATTGTATATCAGAGTGTTATCAGGAGACCAGGACTAGATGCTTGGGCTGCGTTAACCCCAGTACCTGGTATAATGCCCAAGACACGGGCCACTGTCCCTACAGACTCAAAAACCGCTACATGACTACCATAAGTTTACCTTTTTTTCACACCAGAGTGATATCAGGAGACCAGCACCAGATGCTAGTTCCCGTGGGATGTGTCCACCCTCCTCTGGTGGCCACAGTAAAATACATGTATACCATGATTGCATGGCTGAGAAAACTTAGTAACTGTATGTTGAAATGACGATAAGATGTTTTACCCCAGAGTGTTATCAGGAGACCAGCACCAGATGCTTGTCCCTGTGGGCTGTGTCCATCCCCCTCTGGTGGCCACTGGCAGCGGCAGTGGGGATGACCTGGAGGCCAACACGTTCCTGGAATTCGAGGGGATATTTCAGGTATTTGAGAAGCTCACTGTTTTATCTTCATCTTCATCTTTGCCGGGGCTCAAAGATGTTATGTGAGCCCCGGCTACACCCCCATATAGCCCCTGATGGGGCACTTTAAGGGGTGGAGGCCTTGGTCTAAGGTGGGCAGGCCTCAACGGTGGGAGCCATAACTACCGGGCCAGGCAACTTGAAGGCGTTCCATTGGGGGATTATCTTGTCTGGATTTTAAACCGCACTCTGCAATCAGAACGGCTAACTAGAATGATTTACTGTTTTGTAACATTATACAGTACTGTATTGTAATGCTTGTTGCTACTTGTCTATGCTACTTGTCATTATATATTGAGAAGTTTATTGCTTGGATGCTATCAACCTGTATTCCCGCCAGATTATTTCTGCCTTGAATAATTCTGCGAATACTTCAATACCCTGTAAACACAGCTGTAAAAATTTCACACCTGTTCCGGGGTGGAATGACGTTGTTAAAGATCTGCACTCTGCAGCCCGTGAGGCGTATATTCTCTGGCGGGAAATGGGTCGTCCTCGGTTTGGTCCTATATTCCTACTCATGTCGAAATCTAGAGCAAGATTCAAGCATGCACTTAGACAGTGTAAACGTAATGAGGATAGGGCTCGAGCAGACTCCACTGTTAACAGTTTTAATTCTGGAAACTATAGGGAGTTCTGGAGAAATGTGAGAAATTCTAATGCCTCTCATACGGTTCTACCCAACACTGTAGACGGTACTTCTGGTGCGGAGAATATTGCTAACCGTTGGAAAGAACATTTTGAGTCTCTGTTAAATTCTGTAGATAATCAAACTCATAAGCCGGAAGTGATTTCCGCTCTGTCACCTGTATGCTTTGATCACGGTATGCAAATTTCCGCACTGGAGCTCGCCAATACCATTAGGGATTTACCCAATGGTAAGGCGTGTGGGTCAGATGGTATAAGGAATGAGCACCTGAAATATGCTGGTCCGAGCTTGTATGTCCATCTGTCGTTGCTGTTTACAGCTACCATTGTCCATAATTTTATTCCCAGTAGCCTTTTAGACACTATTATTGTTCCCGTCGTAAAAAACAAATCTGGTAACATCTCTTGTACTGACAATTATAGACCAATTGCGATCACTTCGGCATTATCGAAAGTCCTAGAGGCACTCCTGCTTAATCGTCTGAAGCCTTTTCTTCTGACGTCTGATTCTCAATTTGGCTTTAAACCTAAACATGGGACTGACATGTGTGTTTTTATGTTAAAGCAAATTATCGAGTACTACAGGGGCTTAGGGTCCCCTGTCTTTGTGTGCTTTATGGATGCCTCTAAGGCCTTTGATCGCGTAAACCACTGGACACTGTTTAGAAAGTTGATCGACAGAAATGTTCCGCTATATCTAGTTCGATTCTTGGTTTCCTGGTATACGAATCAAAGAATGTTTGTGAGATGGGGTACAGTCCTTTCACCGAGCTTCTCCGTTACTAACGGAGTACGACAGGGTAGTTTACTGTCCCCATATCTTTTTAATGTATACATAGATGATGTGAGTGTAAGCTTAAACAATGCCAAGGTGGGCTGTTATGTAGGTGGGTCCATCACCAACCACCTGTTTTATGCCGACGACTTATGTCTGATTTGCCCTAGCATTAAATCTCTACAGAGATTGGTTGGGATTTGTGAAGTGGTGGGCCATGGTAATGACATATTGTTTAATACTAATAAGACTTTCTGTATGTATTTCCCATGTACTCGTTTGCCACTTCAGCTTCCATTGCCACCTGTAAGTCTATACGGTACCAACCTGAAGTACGTAAACTCATTTGTCTATTTGGGTATACATCTCAATACCACATTAAGTGACGATGATTGTGTACTTGCTATGCTGAAGAGTCTTTATAGTCGTGCAAACAGTATCAACCGCAAATTTTTCTGTTGCTCTCCATCTGTTAAGAGACACCTGTTTATGACGTATTGCGCCCAGCTATATGGCGCTCAGTTATGGAGCTCTGTAAGCTCTGGTGTTTTGTATAAGTGCAGAGTGGCTTATAACAATTGTTTTAGAATCATAATGAATCTGCCTCGGCGTTGCAGCACGAGTGAAATGTTTGTCTGTAACTATATTGACACTTTTGAAACCAGGAGGAGGAGAATTTGTTATTCTTTTCTAAAAAGGTTATTTTCCTCCAATAACGCAACAATCTGTCGCTTACATGTAATTCATTCCGATGCCTTCTACAGGAATTCATTCTTTCGGAAGACCTTCCATTTGTTATGCTTTTAGGTTTCTTCCTGTTTTACTTGTATGTCTGTAGTGTTTTTTGTATTATTTTAATGATGTATTGTACATGTTATTTGGGTTTTTTACCTGAAATAAAGAATGAATGAATTGCAAATCAATGCCCAAAGGCTAATTGCAAGTTACAAATATATGAAAAAACATTGAAAGGAGTATAAAATAACTTCAAAATGTACTTAATGAAATATTATATATATACTTTTGATTAGTTCTTTTAACAAAACTGCTACTTATTTTAACCATTTAGTACATTAGAGTTAATGTGATACTAGCTGTTTTACAATTAACCTAATGTACAGGACATGTAATTGAGCCTCGGGGCTGTGAAATGTTGTTTGAATAATTATTATTTATTATCTTCCAGGGCATCATCGGCAGGAGGGCGTCCAAGATGGTGGTGACGAAGGACAAGGTGGTGAGGAGGGAGATGGACAGCTTTCTTGCACAGGTAAATACTCTTGTACACGTCTTGTATGTACAAAATATGTGTATGATGAGTGGCCTGTGCCATTACTTCGCCTTGCTCTCAGCCTCATGCACTGTTCCTGAAGATCTTGGGCCAGTACTTTTAGTTAGTTCTTCTAGCATGATATTATCACTTCTTCCCATTGCCAATTGGACGTTGTCTAAAATGCATCTCATCCCTGTTTTTCTTGGTCTTCTAAAGTTTAGCACCCACTTAAAGTAGTGTTCATAGTTGAGTGGTTAGCAATCCTGCCTTTGGACCCAGGAAGTTGGGAACTGGGCTGTTGTCACTCACCCGACATGCACACTCCTCAGGCATGCTAAGATGTGTCCTAGCCAGTTGGGTACCACAATAGCTGTTACAGTAGTGTTTGGTATATATTTGCTGGCTATTATTATCTTTGCTGATTGTTAACTCTGCAGGCATGTCACCTGTGGGAGCGGCTGAGAGGTGAGGATGTGGATGAGGCCCTGAAGGAGGTGCAGAGGGTTTTCCCGTGCAGGGACTTCAGGGGTGAGTTTCCACCATGGGCTGAATTTCATGGTGTTGAAGAACCTTGAGCTGAATGGGCTTCTACTGGTAGTTCTGGGAATGGGAATGGCTCACTCCAGGTGGAGGTTATGACCACAAGCTTTCGGAGAGGAGACCCAATCAGCCCCTGTGCAGAGATACAGGGCCTATGCCTGTGTGTAACACAGCTAGATACTACCGTAAATTCAAACCATATTTACATCAAGAATGTTTTCAGTCAGGAACAAGAACACTTCATAGTGGTGTGTACTACAGTCCATCATTGTGTTCAATTGGCTAGCAACCCTGGACCTAGAGGTTGGGAGTTCGAATCCCGGCTGTTGTCGCTCACCCGACATGCATGCGACTGTTACATGCAATTGTTCATTACGGCTATGGGAATTTCCACGATAGAATGAACTGTAGATACTCTACATAGCATCTGTCTTCTCTGTCAAGACCAGTGGAATTTGAGATCATTTTTTTACATTCATCCTCGTAGGAAAGCTACATGACCTGGGTAAGGTGGTGGAGTGTTATAAGGACTTCTTACACCAGCATGAAGGGAAGGAAACTACCATTGTGGTGGAGGGAGTGAAGACACTGGTGGGGGAGCTCACCAAAGTCGCTCATGGTAGGAATGGCTTTTTCTTTACTCAGCATCATTTCTGTGATTATTATGTTTACCAAAGGAAAACACATAGTTTTTGCTACATTTCCTCTTCTTCTTCCGTTCCAAGCACTGACCTGACCAATGGCCTGCTTTGTTGATGTCTGTCACCATGGTAACTAGTGTTGGGTTACATGATGTTGCAATTTTATCAGTAGGAGGGATTTACGCTCCTGTCTGACCATATATATGTGATTGAGTAAGAATTAACAGAGCAAACCATATGCAAAGGTTAACATTATGCATATGTTACCTTTCTAGTTAACAGTTAATTACTGGTACATATAAATGTAGGGAAAGAAAGGATAATTTGGAAGGAAACATAGATTCTTGTAGACCAACTACATACTACTGTTTTCACTGTCACTTTTTTACCGTGAACTTATCATTACAGTTAACAAATAATTCCTGGACTTTCTTTTCCCTGCACCTGTTGCCACCGTGAATATACATTGTATATACATTGTAGTTCTGTGAACATGTCCATTTTTCTCAGACCGTGAACTTTTACTACTGTGAACATAAAGTGAATGACAGTATATACATGTACAACAATTCAACACAACATGTTGTTGCCTTCTTCTACAGAGCTGAGACATATCATGTTCCTGGGGATTCTGGCCAAAGAAGGTAGGAGCATGTTTGAACTGTTGGCCTAGTTACAATGTCATTGATTGATCTAGATATTAGTTGATCTGTCTTGAACTTCTTCACAGCTTACATTCAGTATAACTTAAGAAGACCTGGATGGATTGCGATCATATTTGGTATGTGGGTAGGTCTTTGGAGAACAAAGGTCAAGGTCAAACATGGGCCTCCTAGTGACTGTGCCTGGTACCGCAGCAGAACTTCCCTTTTTTTTTTTTTTGTCCTAGGGTTTTGATTTTGATTTGAATCATGCGAGGGGAATATGCAGGGCTCGAAATCCATTTTTGGGAATAGGTGCACTACTGGTGCAGCCAACCTGAAAAATTGGTGCACAAAACATTGTCTGGGTGCACCCTATAAAACAAAACAGAACAACTTCATAAGTACTAACAGAACAACTAAATAAGTACTAACAGAACTCCCCCCTCCTCCAGACCCCACCACCAGCAGCAGGAGGGACGTGGTGTTCTCCCAGGCCCTGTCTGCCGCTGTGTGTGCCTTCTCAGAACAACTTAATAAGTACTAACAGAACACACTGTACCCACCCCTCCAGACCCCACTACCAGCAGCAGGAGGGATGTGGTGTTCTCCCAGGCACATGTCTGCCGCCGTGTGTGCCTTTTCAGAACAACTTAATAAGTACTAACAGAACACACTGTCCCCCAGACCCCACTACCAGCAGTAGGAGGGATGTGGTGTTCTCCCAGGCCCTGTCTGCCGCCGTGTGTGCCTTCTCAGAACAACTTAATAAGTACTAACAGAACACACTGTACCCACCCCTCCAGACCCCACTACCAGCAGCAGGAGGGACGTGGTGTTCTCCCAGGCCCTGTCTGCCGCCGTGTGTGCCTTCTCAGAACAACTGCTGGCAGCCCTGAACTTCTCCTTCAACAACATGAAGGTGACTAGCATTTTTGTTGTTATGATTGTGATTACTTTGAGTTATTGTGATTATGTCATGTATTGTGATTATGTCATGTTATGTCATACAAGTACTGTACAACTATGCTTGAGATTTCTAATAAGCCAATATATGCTGGTTGTCCTGCCTACCTGCCTACGTGCTCAGGCCAGGTACTGGCTCCTTGCTCCCCCTCATATGGTTCCTCCAGTCAGCTCTATCAAGGGCGATAGTCTCCGCTTCCCTTAGAGTGAGCCCTGTGTCAGTTTGTATCTGGTCTTTCCACCTCTTGGGTGGTCTTCCCTGGGGGTCTGGGTTTTTTTTAACTCCTGGTGGTATGCTGGTTGTCTCTAACAAAAAGTAAGTTCATGGTGTAGAAGGTTACTTTCATCGTCTTACACGAAACTGAGGAAATGCCTACTACTACTCTGACACTAGTTACTGTAATACTGCAATTCCTGATCTTATCATTATTGTAACAAATAATTGCTAGCCTTCTTTTTTTTCTTCACCTGTGAACTGTGAACATACACCTCCATTTTCAAACCAGGACCATGAACATAAAGTGAATTACAATTATCATAAGAAAATTTCTTTCCTTCCTTCCTTCCTTGCAGGAGTATAAGATAGACAACAAGCTGGCGAGCATCAAGTGGCTGGAACAGACAGCCTCCATTGGTGTGCTGGTCATGTTTCAGGCCATGCTGTCTCCTAACTGGGTTGGTTGAATACAGCTTATGCCTGTCCTTGGTGCTGAAGTAGCTTTCCTAGTGTTGTGCCTGTGTCTGGTGTTGATATACTTGACTGTGCAATGTATATTGATATCCAACTCACTTTCCATGTGCTTTAAACCTGGCCTTGATGGAAAACAATCACAGCTGTGCTTGTCCTTGGTGCTGAAGTATCATTCCTAGTGTTGTGCCTGTCCCTGGTTATGAAATACTTGCATGCTGAAATATCTATGCATTGAAAACCAGGTTTTGGGCCAAGTTTCACATTGTCCAACCACACCTATACCTTTTAATACAAATTGAATCAAATTTGCCAACCACGGCCCAACTACTGCTAACTTACTCCCAAATGCCAACCAACCACCAGCCAATCATGGCCGTACCTCCTGTCCTCACCCAAAAATTTTAAAACATTTGGCTGGCGCAGCCAAACAGTAGCCGACCTCACCAAACACCAGCCAACCACAGTCTACATAGCTTTCGATCTACTTCTAACCATGGTTGGTGGGAGTTTGGCAGTGTTTGGGGGGACAATGAATGAATTAATGAATGAATGATTTATTCAGGTTAAAATCACTTTTCAGCCATTCAGCAGAATTGTGGATTTCATTACAATACTAGACTAGTGAAAAAAACATGACCTTGGTCACTTTCTAAAAGACAATTGTAGCATTCATAATGTTTGAGTTCGTTTCATACCAGATTTTTTTTCCTTCCAGAATGACGAGAAGTCCATCCTGCAGGACTTGGTGGTCGGGGTCAGTGACCTGGACAAGGTGACCTTCATCTTCAGGACTCTGTCTCCACAGGAGTGTCATGAAGGTAGCTTCTTTTTGGATAATCAGATATGATATTCTTGATAATATGGATGACATCCCCGTGCACATCAGGTTTTGTCTGTTTTTTTTTTTAAAGTTTCTTCGGGTTCTTGACGGATAACAGGAGTCAAAAGGAAAAGATGAAGATGCCAGAGGAAGTAGAGGAAGTATGGCTTGAATTGCCTTTTACTTTCACCTCCAAGTCTTCCAAAGTCAACAAAAATAAAGCATTCTAAAGAATTTGTTATTGTTTATGTATATATTAGTTTAGTAAAGATGAAATCTAGTTGTAGAAGTTCCACCTTGTATACTTGCCTGTCCTTCCCTCAGCTGTAGAGCTGACCCACAACGTAGAGGGTACCAGGTCTGGAGTCCAGGTGGTGTTTTACCTGAATAAAAATCTGTTAGTTTTAAATTCGGCCTAACTTACATGTAATAATGCCTGGATAGATTGTGATGCTTGTATGTGCATAGGTCAAGGTCAAATGATGTGGACCTGTGCTTGGTGCTGCAGCAGAACGTCTGGTTTTGGTATCTTTTGTCTAAGGTTTTTATTTTTTGGTTTCTAATCTTTGATTCCTTTTTTGCTTGTTGTTCCCACAGCTGTAGAGCTGACCCACAGTGTAGAAGGCATGCGGTCTGGAGTCCAGGTTGTTTTTTACCTGAAGGTGTAATAAAATAACCGATTCCTTGGATTGTGGTGATATTTGGTATGTGGGTAGGTCTTGGGAAGACAAAGTCTGGAGTCCAGGTGGTGTTTTACCTGAAGGTGTAATAAAATATCTGATTCTGTGTTTGCCTGTCCATTCTCTGCTTAGCACCCAGCATCTATGAGAAACATGGGAAGGTCAAACACACACCACTACCAGCAGGCTAGCCCTCTGCTGTAGTGCTTGAACAACTGTGTGGCCCAAGGGCTACAGAAATGGAGATGGGCACCACCCCTATGTTCTTCAAGGAGTGGAAAGAGACCTTTTTCTTCTTCTTTTTTAGCTGTAGAGCTGACCCACAGTGTTGAGGGCACGCGGTCTGGAGTCCAGGTTGTTTTTTACCTGAAGAAAAACCTGTTCCTGAGACTTCCCCGCCGACTCCAGGCCGGCAGCAGCATCAAGATGTGCCCGGTGCTCTTCAACCAGGGTGGGTGTCGACTCCTCATTGATATTGTCCACAAGTAGGTCTGGTCAGATAGAAATGCTAGAATCTTATACGATGTGTTGTAATATCTGTGTCCATAATATCACCAGGGTCCATAATATCGCCACGGTCCATAATATCGCCACCTTGAGAAACAGTGTGCTTAAAGATATTTTTACTGCAACATACTTTTGTATGCACTCCTGCACACATCAAATGTACATACCTACTAAATATGTTGCAGTAAAAATATCTTTAAGCACACTTTTTCTCAGTTCAGGAGAGAATGTTTCTGTGTCAGTTTTGTCACACATGGGGATATGACCAATCAATGGTGCCTATAAAGTTGGTTCACAACTACATGTACAACTGCCAAAGGTGAGGCCTCTGAAAAATAAACAAAACACGTCAGGACATGTACAGTACCGTTCGCGTTATAGTTAACCGGGTACCCCGTTACTAACGAGTTAGATTTTCGTCAGAAAATGGTTAGAAAATCGTCAGTATTTGGTTAGATTTTCGTCAGAAAATGGTTAGAAAATCGTCAGAAATTATTTCTAACGCGTTACCGTTTGCGTTAATGTGATAGGGTCGGATTTCATGTTTGTTTTGCGCGCAGACAAGACAATAGCAATTTGCCACCTCCTGGGGCGTCCGCTAATGTGTTGCGATGTTGCCCCTTGAAAAATAACAGCACCAGAGGCAAGTGGACATGTGATTCGAAAAATAACTTTGTGGTTTATCCGTGTGTCGACTGTGTGAAGCGAATTGTGCTATCTTTTAATGCTATTCTATAGTTATTTCTAGCGGAAAATATTACGTTGTGTAATACAATGTCAATGTATGTCAACAAAGTGTAGCAGTGGGCAGACGATGTCTTGTACATTTTGTACCAGCGGCGGCCTACCGCTCTCACAGGACGTCATGGGACGTGACGAAACAAGAAATATCTGCCGTAGAAGAAATATAAATCGGTAACTCATGCCTTAAATTCACGGCGGTTTTTGACACAAAAGAAAAATTATTATAATTTTTGTAAGGCGCGCGGCTTACTAGTAGTAGCGGCTTACTCACGGTAAAATGTACCGTCACTCCCGGCGCAAGGACTCGGTTCGCCAGCTGAGGACTTTCCACAACCATGATGATATCATAGTTAATAAAGGAATATATAATAGATCTATCATGTTGAAATGATAATTGTAATACATGGTTCTATTTAATAGCGGTAGTTTTGTTTCTTATTTTGACGGGGGAAACTGTCGAGGGGTATTATATAATAATATAAAATCGAGGGAACGCAAACTGAGATCGGCTCACTTCCGGGTGTATAACGCCAAAATTTCTCGACGATTGTATAAAAATGACCACTCATTTGTCGCCTACGGTAGCGTGTACATGGTAGTGCTATCATATCGTGCCAAAGTCAGCGTCAAACGTCAGAAAATCCCCGAAAAAATATATTTGCAAAACACATTTCCCGCGCACTCACGGCCGGTCGCCATGGCCGCGGCCGCCCTGTGATGCAGGCAGCATGCTCATTATAATATGCAAGTAGCTACGCTCTGATTGGTTCACCTTAGATGACCTGCGCTCTGATTGGCTAGAACGAAGCCCGTTGCATGCTGGGGCGCCCTTCCACGCGCGAAGTGCGATCTCGAGATAGCCACATTTACGCTGGTTTCTACCTTATTTCTACGACTAATTAGCAACATCCTAGTAACGAAATGCGTACTCAAAAGATTTTTCGGGAAAAAAAATATATGTACATGTGGATTTGTGGTGCCTTTGGCGTAATTTTGTTGGTCACATACAACGTAATGTAACACGGAAGTGCACGGAGTCGGAGTCGCAGCACGGCTTTCCGTCCCACTCTAAACAAAACTCCAAGGACAAAACAAAACTCCCCAAAACTGGCCAATAATTAGCCATAAAAATGTTTGTGGGCACGTGTATTAAATATGCGCGCTAAATATGCTGCCTTTTTTTCGAGTGTAATAGGAATTTTCCGCGANGTTTTTTGCACATCCCCTAACGTTACCTCACGCCCGACCGCCTATTATGTACGGCGGACAAGGACCTTTATAACTTCAGATCATCTCTAAGGATTGCATATTCGGTGGTAAAAGAAGTAAACAAACAGAGAAAAACAGCAAAATAAAGTTGACAAACTATGGAAACGCTTGCCTGGGCAACAGTGACAAAAGAAAATGTCGATCTAATTGATGCGCCGGTGATCGTTAAAACGTTTTAAACGTTATAATATACTAGTAGTAAAATGCAGGCTAGATCAACGTTCCTTCCGCTGGTCCAGCGGTGTGTATCGGTAATTTCCCGCCCCGCATGAGGTAAATTAGTACTCCTCCCACGATTCCTGTGATGTTACCGCGCCTGCATATGAATGGAGAAGTCTGACGAAAAAGAAACGCGTTACTTTCGGAAAAGTAACGGAAAACTTACGGAAAACTTACGGACAACTTACGGAAAACTTACGGAAAAGAAACGCGTTAGTAACGGCCGTTAGGGTAACTATAACGCGAACGGTACTGTATATTAAGCCTGGTCTGAAAGGTTTTGTTTACATCCCAGGGGCCTTCACCTTAAAATCTGAGCATGTACACTCATAATATTATTGCGAACCCTCTTATTGCTCTGTCCAACATAGAAAGTTTAAAGAGGAGCCTTTGATCACTTTAATTTATGATTAGTCTGTAAAACTGAGAAGTTCTGTGACCTGACTTTTCCAGCCTTGGTAAACCTACACCAGAGCTGGGACGTGGATTTTGTGAACGCTGTTCAGATGCAGAACAACATCAACCAGCAGGCCATTCACGATACACAGGCCTTCTACAGGAGGTTCAAGTCAGTCATGTTTTAGTTTTTCTTGGGTATTGTTTCAGCATTTGTGTGTTTTAGTGTGTGTGTGTGTGTGTGTGTGTGTGTGTGTTTCAGTGTGTGTGTGTGTGTATTTGTGTGTGCATCTTTGTGTGTGCGTGTGTGTGTGTGCACGTGTGTGTGTGTGTGTGTGTGTGTGTGTGTGTGTGTTTCAGTGTGTGCGTGTGTGTGTGTTTGTGCGTGTGTTTGTGTTTGTGCGTGTGTGTGTGTGTTCAGATGCAGAAGAACATCAACCAGCAGGCCATACACGATACACAGGCATTCTACAGGAGGTTCAAGTCAGTTCTGTTACAGTCTTCCTTACCTGTTTACCTGTATGTGTATGTGTCTGTCTCTATGTCTGTGTATATGGGGGGGGGGCTGTCCAGATGCAGAAGAACATCAACCAGCAGGCCATACACGATACACAGGCCTTCTACAGGAGATTCAAGTCAGTCAAGTTTTGTTTGTTTGTTTCTTTTATTCATGAAGTACTTATTCAGTATGCTGGTGGCTTTTCATTGAGGCCATTACTATTATTGGCATTAGGGAAGAGGTTTATAGTTAAAGAAAATATACTCTTAGATACTCCATGGACATATGAAGTCCCTTATTTCTTGTTCATTTTTTGGGACTATCCTTGAAATGATGAAGTATTTGGGAGTAAGTTGAGCAGCATATGCTACCTGCCCCACCTTACAACTACATGTACTGAACTGCCCTCATTTCTGTTGCAGAGGATTCCACCTTGACAAGTCCAAGCTCCCTGGTAACCCCAGTGCTAAGGTTGTCATGATGGACAAGGTACACTTAGTTTATGGTTTCTTTCAGTTTCTGCCCTCCACAACATCAAAATTAATCACAATCCCCAACTGAAACCTCTGCTTGGAGGGTACTTAATTGATATAGAAACCAAGCCCAATTTGTCTGTATACATCTAGTCCTAGTACTAGCTGTAGGACTAGCACTTGTACTTGAATTAGCCTATTTGTTGCAATCACCAGTATTTGAATTAGTCTAGCTCGTATGCTCAGACTACCAGCTACTGATGATGCTGATGACTGCCACTGTTCTTGTCACAATTTGTATGTAAGTATGCCTCTACCACACGTATGTTTCCCATGTCCACATACTTGTAATCATCCTTCAAACATGTTCTGTATCTGTATAGCCGGTATAACCACCCTTCGGCGTAACACACCAGCTTCTGTATCGGTATAGCCGGTATAACTGCCTTTCGGCATAACACACCAGCTTCTGTATCTGTATAGCCAGTATAACAGCCCTTTGGCATAACACACCAGCTTCTGTATCTGTATAGCCGGTATAACCACCCTTTGGCATAACACACCAGCTTCTGTATCTGTATAGCCGATATAACCACCCTTTGGCGTAACACACCAGCTTCTGTATCTGTGTAGCCGATATAACCACCCTTTGGCGTAACACAGCAGCTTCTGTATCTGTATAGCCGGTATAACTGCCCTTCTGCGTAACACACCAGCTTCTGTATCTGTGTAGCCGATATAACCACCCTTTGGCGTAACACACCAGCTTCTGTATCTGTGTAGCTGATATAACCACCCTTTGGCGTAACACACCAGCTTCTGTATCTGTGTAGCTGATATAACCACCCTTTGGCATAACACACCAGCTTATGAACTTGCAAAATTAGGCCACACCAATTTAATTTGATTCGCCTCTTCATTTTTTTCTGATTTGCAAAAAAAAAAGATTCTGATTCTGAATCAACTCAAATATGCTCATATTTTGCCTCCAACAGTTGAGGAAAGTCCCTTTCTCCTAGGTATTACAGTTTAAATCCATCTATCAATGTAGTGGTTTGATTAAAAGTTCCAAATTCATTGTTTAAATATTAACCCAGCCTTTTGTGTTAACTTCTTGGCTCCTATCATCATAGAATTTGGGGCTATAATAGGATGCCTTGACCTGTTTTTATTTTTGTTTATTTTCGCCCTGTCGCTTCATATTTTTTCTGAAAAAATCCGAGAACCAACAAATTAAATTGGTGTGGCCTTAACTTAATATTTGATCCCTTCCAGCTTCTTCGCCCCCTGAACTCCTCTGATGAGCTCCTGCGGCAGTTGGACACTCTGGTGATGCAGGGGAAGAAGAAGCAAGGCTTCGGGATCGACCACGGGCTGGGAGTGGGGCTGGTCTCCATCACCGCAGAGTTCTGCTTCAGTGTGGGGGCATGCAGGCTGCTCATGTGCAATACCGGCATCCACAGGTAGGTGGCACTATACTACAGTCCTGTTAGTTATTCAGAACAAGGCTTCGGGGTCGACCAAGGGCTTGGTGTGGGGCTGGTCTCCATCACGGCCGAGTTTTGCTTCAGTGTGGGGGCATGCAGGCTGCTCATGTGCAATACCGGCATCCACAGGTAGGTGGCACTAGACTACAGTCCTGTAAGGTGATCGACCACGGGCTGGGAGTGGGGCTGGTCTCCATCACCGCAGAGTTTTGCTTCAGTGTGGGGGCATGCAGGCTGCTCATGTGCAATACCGGCATCCACAGGTAGGTGGCACTATACTACAGTCATGTCAGGTATTCAGAACATACTGGAATACTGTAAGTCACATTATATATTTGCACTACTTTTACATTCACGGTCACCTCTGTACCGCAAATTTATCATTACCACAAACAAATTATTTGCCAACTTTCTTCTGCACCTGCCACCACCGCGAAAATATGCTTTTGCGAACATGTCCCAGAGTGTGAAATTTTGCAATGGCAAATATAGAATGATGTACAGTGTCGTCATTTAGAAATTCTTTCAATTCTTTGTAATTGTTTGTCTAAGAAATTTCATAGCTTGGAAATATTTTGAATATCTTTTCAACATCCTAAATAATTCCCTGGTTTTGTAAAACTTTTGAAATATTCCTGATGTGGAATATGACATTTCCAATAGTTTCTAAATATTTCTAATAGCATTCTACCTTTTTTTTACGAAAGGGTTGGCAACATAAAATTTTCTTGACTGACATTTTGCCTTTTTACAGAACCTCATGTGCAGCCACCTTGGAGCAGAGCATCATCCTGACACGTTGCCACGGGTTACCGTCCCGTTACCTAGCAACGGCCGCACACATCATCAAGAACCAAGGGGTCAGAGTTCAGAACGAAGCTAAGAACCCAAGGATAGAGGACAACACACCTGCAGGGATCCCCAGGTAGCTGAGGACAGTTTACTTCTAAGTGTTTGTTTTATTTTGTTTACCTTTGCAGAGGCATTTTTTACTGTTTCTGTTTTTTACTGTAACACAGTTTCTTCTTCCTCTTCTTCTCCAAACAAATAAGGTCAATGATCTGAACCAGGCATCTGTCACCATGGTAACTAGTGTTGGGTTACATCATTTTTTTTTTACTTAGTAGGCCACTTCAAGGTGAACGGTGCAACCACCTGAATGGTAATAATTGACCACTCACCTGGGTTATGGGTTACCGAGTAGAACTGTAACAGCAACTCTTCTCCCTGAGTCAGAAACATCATGATTGAGACCAGCCCAATTTCTCACAAGAAGTGAGGACTAACTGACCCAATAGGAGAAGCAGGGGTTACGACCCCATTTTAGACCATAATGGTTTGTTCCACTTCCGCTCGCGTGGGTTCTTTAACGTGCTTGAGGTGTGTCTCTCCTCAAACATGGGACCTCTATTTTAATTTCCCATCTGATAAGATGCCCCTAACCAAAGCTAGGTACTCATTTTCACCTGAGTGAAGTGAGGAAAATCGTGTAAAGTACCTTTCCCAAGGGTACAACAACGGGGCGCATGGACTTGTTCGGGTACGACCCGGAATCGAACCCGGGTCTCCCTGTTTCATAGTCCAGTCTACCACTACACCACACGATGCCACAATTGTTGCCATTTTAATTCACGTAAGTCCTTTTCTTCCCCAGGCTGTACAGTCTGTGCCAGGACAGCGGCAGTCCAGAGGCAGAAGCCAGGAAGCCCACCTGACTATCACGTGCTGACAGTGTAGCATCATCATCATCAACATCAGGCAACCACTGTATACTGTCATGACATGCCTGAAACTGGGTGGTATGGTCCAGATTTTGTCATTCCTACAATAATGTTAAATTAATAATTCAGGAAGCCGACCTGACTATCACGTGCTGACAGTGTAGCATCATCATCATCAACATCAGGCAACCACTGTATACTGTCATGACATGGCTGAAACTGGGTGGTATGATCCAGATTTTGTCATTCCTACAATAATGTTAAATTAATAATTCAGGAAACCGACATGACTATCACGTGCTGACAGTGTAGTATCATCAACATCAACATCAGGCAACCACTGTATACTGTCATGACATTTGGTTTCTCTTTTAATGCCCACGATCATGATAATGATCATTCTGGCATACTCATTTTCACCTGAGCGAAGTGAGGAAAGTAGTGTGTCAAGTGCCTTTCCCAAGGGCACAAGGTTGGTGACTTGGCAGGATTTGAACCTGGGACCGCTTGGTTTTGAGCCAACCCCACGACTATCACTTAGTATCAGGTGCTGATAGTGTATCAACATCATCAGTCAACCAATGTGTACTGTCATGATATGCCTGAAACTGGGTGGTATGGTCCAGACTGTTTGATTCCTATGATGATTGAGCACGTCGGCAGAACGTACTGCACCTGCGCGAAACCCGTAATGTATTGTACATAGCACTTCGGCAGAATGTCTCATATAAGGTTGTATTCGCTCATATAAGGTTAGCATTTCAACAGTAGTTTCCAAATGGTGTGTCGGAAAAGATATCTTCTGCAACAGTCAAAATTCTAAAGCAACGTTGACCAAAAATCCAACGAAAAACACGAAAAATCCAGGGTTCTGCGCAGGCGCAGTACGTTCTGCCGACGTGCTTGATGACTGTTGTGTGACTCATTTGTTTATCAACATTCACCACACTTGTGGGAGGGGTGAGAAGATAGGTGTTGATCACCTTCACTGGCTCTTACCCAAGAAAAGCTTGAACTGAAGGTACATGACGTTCATCTTGCCAAAGTCAACTTTAGGATGGACTAGAGGATATTTTATGACAATCAAATGAATTTTATAATTCTATTATATATGTATTTTAGAAGTGAAATAGATCTACACATTTGGATCACAGGGCTGACATTGTACATGTATCTCTGAGACTGGCTGGTACGATCCACAATTTGTCATTCCTACAATAATGTCACTGGTTCGTTTTGACAAAGTCAACTTTAGGATGGACTAGAGGATATTTGATGACAATCAAATAAAGTATATGATATTTCTGTTAAATGGTTTATTTGCAAATTGACATAAAACTAAAACAACATTGCGGTCTAATAATACAAAGAATTGTACAAAAGGCTGAATTACGGAGTTTTAGGGAACACACTAAATATCATTAAGATTTAATAGTGCACTGGATTAACCTTTTCTACATGTACAAGGCCACCCAGGGGACCGAGGTTAAGTGGTCTTCTTAGACAGGTGGCCTTTTTGCGCAGGTCACTTGAACTGTAGGATGGACTAGACCAAGTAAAGTGGTCGTCTTGGGCAGGTGGTCTTCTTGGACAGGTGGTCTTCTTGGGCAGGTGGTCTTCTTGGACAGGTGGTCTTCTTGAGCAGGTGGCTTAATACTTGTGCCTATGGAAAGACATGCATTAAGAACTGGGGGAAGGTGGCTGCTTGTCAAGTTTGACTTTTTGTAAGTGAATATAATTAAGCGTTAATGACCCGCCCCGAGGTGAATATGGTGTCAGTTGCTATAACCAGTGAACAAAGCCACCAAGTGACTCTATTTGTGACATTACGGTGTCATAAGGAATGTGGAATGGAGCCTTCTGATTGGTCAACGTCACCGGGCTATATGATAATATGATATAATAGTTTTCTTCTACACAAGCAAAAAATATTCATACCTTGCTTACGTTTCTGTGTCTCTCAGACACCTGACTGGAGTTCTGCTTCTCACCGCTGTATGTAGCCGATGTAGGTGGTTGTGTAGAACAGGGTGTAGAAGAAAACCCTTATATCCTATACTTTACCAACCTGATGAAACTATGTTTGGATGAATATTTGATGCCTGCACTTTTGTGCTAAATGGGTGATATGGTACCCCTGAGGGTGAGTGGTACAATCCAGAATTTGAACACTGCAATAATGTATAGATTACAGGGCAGTGCAACTGTATAGTTCTTTGAACTTCTTTCTTCTGTCAACTTGAAGTTTTAACTTTTACGACAATCAAATACAAATGTAGAGTGTATATGTATATTCACAATGACAATTATATTAAAATCTTTCAATATTTTTAAAATGTGATAGCTGTGGTGAAAGAGCAACATGATATAAAACCACAGAAGAGAAATATACAGATACTGGTTATTTTGGAAGTGAAGTTTACATATACTTTTGTATTACAGGGTAGAGATTGTGGCCATCACAATGCTTTTACATTGTAACAAGTGATGATAAAACTGGTGCTGGTAACATTGTAGCAAAACACAACATTGGTGCAATGGTTAACCTTCTTTCTACTGCCTAACTTAGTAAGCAACACAAATTTGGTGCTAAACGGCTGCCTTAGTAGTCTAAAAGTTAAATGTACATCATATATGTATTGTTCAACTCTCAAACAATTAGATGTTCATAAGTCTTATTTACAATGCTTTATCAATTTATTTATTTTATTCATTAATATTTACCACTTTTGTGGAAAGATTGACATAGTTGATGACTGTCATCTTTTGTAGATGTTTTCGTCATGCATTTTGTTTTTAAGACATTCCTATCATGACTATGTACATGGTGATTATTGAATGTCAGTGTTACAGGCCATAGGGAATATATCTTTGTGCAATAATATATACTGTCAAGACATTGTCAGTGTTGCAATGTAAAACATCAGATCTGTTGACAATGATACATTGATCTGCTTTGAATTTTAAGGTTTTTACAATCTTCCTTACATTTCATATACATTGATCATCATTGATTTTCTTAATTTAAAAGAAATTAGAATTGTGTTATGGTAGACAATGGTAGGACATGGGTAATGTATGATGAGAAAATACATTTTAGCTCCACTGTTAGGCCACACCGACTTAATTTTATGGATGACATCCTCTGAATACCCCCAAACTAGTGCGCGCGGGCAAAGAAAAGAAAATTCCGGCCAAAAATAAAAATGGCATTAAACCACAGGAATACAAAGCTGGCATTGTGAATTGACGGCAGTACATAGCGACGTATATGACACATGCTGGCTTTTTGCGGAGTTTATGAATCGTATGTATTGAGTTCTTGAGTCATGGACGTTCGGGAGCCTGTGTGCCGTCCTCCAGAGTTACCACCGGCTCCGTATTGTCCAGACCCTCGAAAGACGTGATCTTTTTTTTTTTTTTTTTGAGAACAGGATGTCACCCATAAAATTAAGTCGGTGTGGCCTTACACCAGAAGGACTTGTGAAGGACTACTGCTACTACTACTGCTGCCAGTCAGTCTATATATACCAGGTGCTATATATAGCCATGTGCACATGAGCCTGGAATGTCCTAGCAGGAAGGCAATGTACATGTACAATTTGTGTTATGTAATCCTTTTATTTGTATGAGAGTCGTGGAATTTTAATGTTTTACTGACAGTAAAATATGTACGGAGCTCCACAATGTATTTTTTGCAATTTTGATAAAGAAAAGACACCCCTACGCCCCCCCCTGAGATATAATGGAATATCCCTCACCCAGGAATTGAAGTACGAAATGTTAACTCGAAGCACGTCCCCCCCCCTACCCTCCAAGCAGAGGTTGTGGAGGAATGATCGTTACCTTTTTATATATAGTTGTTGTTGTTTTTTTGTCGCTACCCCCACCGTCGGTGGCCGGCGACCTTCTCTGACTAATGGATACTGCCTGGCCAATTTGATACTGTCTTTTTGCCACCGAAAGGGATCTGCTTGGAGATTACGTCCCCCCCCCCCCGTCACATAATGGAATATCCTTCACCCATGAGGAAGTAGTTTGAAGCATACCCAGTCTACAAATTTTGTGGGCACAAAAAATTCTCGGAAGAAAAGAGACCCTACCTGACCTTTACAAGAAAGACTTTAGCAAGGGGGAAAAGATTTAATTAGGCCAAAGTGTTAGCCTCCATAGCATGCCAGAAATGGGTTTTGGGGGTCTTCGGGAGCTTTTATGTGCTATTTTATCTGATTGCATATAGACAACATAGCCGGCCTGGTTGAATTACCCTCGTTTTTTTTAGAACTGGGCTAATCAGTAAACAGCCGAAGACCACCAAACTCCCAGTTCTATAAGCCTGCTACGGAGGCTACCAGTGTGCCCGATATTGAAATGAAATGAAATACCTTTATTGTACATTCATGCCACGACGGGCTAGGTACAGGTCAAGATATGACAGACACATAACAAATATATATGGAAAATTGGAGACAAAAGATGCACTACTTGACTTAGACATACATACATAAGGAACATACAAGGGTACTATACTAGGCTAATACATAGTGTTCCAGTCACTGAGCTAATACAGACAGGTCAACTTCTTCTCGATATTGTACCAGTGCAATACGCGTGACGTGCACGTGTCAACATTACCACCCTTATATACGTCATGTTTATTCTGGTGACATTTCCTGGTCGGAGTTTCCGACTTCTAGATCTCTACCGATATGCAGGTAGCAACTTCGGTTCCTGTAAAGCACCCCTTTGTCTACTAGTGGGAGATTTTTAGCGAACAAGTTGAGCAAATCGCGCATTTAGCAGGTGCCTTGTGGGCTTTGCCGGCAAGGGTTTGCCCCTATGACCCAAATATAACAGGTGTTTACACTCACAGCGACCTCATGCGATATTATGTTGAACTGCAGCTCGACATGTTTCAGACCGCCGAGGGAATTTTTACTCTCGTTCTCTTCTGAGAAAAATGGGTGTCTCTAAAATTGTGAACGTGACGTAACCCCTTAGCTCCCGTGCGCTTTTTAGACACACCCAAATATAAGTAGTACACATTCAATGCAGCATGTCACATGCTTGCAACAAGAGGAGGAAATTAGTCACACAATATTCAAGGAAAGTTTCCGCCACACGAATTGGTTGTAACAAGATTTTCCGGCAGGAATTAGGATTTATGCGAAGAACGACTGCTTGATTGCCACGTCGGAAATTGCCACTTTCGGAAGTTGCTACAGAAGAAGCGAAGCTGCGCCTCTTTGCTACAAACAGGTGCGCCCGACGCGAACTGAACTTCCTTAACGGATGTGTGAACCTTGTGCGCCCTGCAGGTATATATGGATGGATTGTTACCGCTGTGTTGCTGCTTAAAACTCGACTTGCGGGAAACGCGTAGCCTCTACCAGGCTTCGGAGGAGTCTGAAAGGGGTAAAAACGTATCCAGCACCAATCTAGAAAGTTGAAGACGTTCATTGGAATCTACCAGGCTTCAGAAGCGGCTGGAAGAGTAGAAATTGTCCAAATAGACAGAAAACATGCCGGGAGAGTTGGTCCGCGGAAGGAGTACATTTGGAGCGGCAAAGTGTACTCCTTTCAATAGCGGACCGACTCCCCTGGCATGTTATCTGTCTATTTGACCAATATCTACTCTTTCCAACCGCTTCTGAAGCCTGGTAGAGGCTAGGAAACTTTCGAGACTGGTGCTAGCAGCGTTTCTACTCTTTCAGTCGCTTGTGAAGCCTGGTAGAGGCTAGGAAGCGCCTCCAAATTTCGCGAAGGGTACCAAATACGTTTCTATATAGTGGACTCGCCGCGCCAATTGTACAACAGGCCAGGATGTGACCCTACTTCTACTTGGAACCTCGATGCTTATCCTCGGGCATTCTTTGGTAGACGTGCGACGACTTCAGCACCCAACCAACCATTGCCATCGCTGGGTGGTTAGTAAGAATACTAGTATTTTCACCGGATCGCGAAATTACTCTACGGATCTTCAGAACGCTGCAACGCACTGGATTATCGTCCGCGTGGAGGACTCCGGATTCGAAGGTAAGCTTTTTTTTTATTCCAACATATAATCACAACATTTTTCAACTTATATTATTGACGCCACCAACACAGGGGACAAATACATGACAATACAATACTCATTTTCACCTGAGTTAAGTGAGGAAAGTCGTGTAAAGTGCCTTTCCCAAGGGGCACAAGATCGGTGGCATGTCAGGACTCGAACCCGGGACCTCTTGGTTCTGAGTCGAGCACTCTGCCGCTTCGCCACACGACCCCACATAAGCTTTTCTTCCTTTGACTTACACTTTCTTTTTCTTAAAAATTCTTGCCTCAATTAAAAGCCCCGCCACAACTTTGGGAGCAAGAATGGAATTTACCCACAATGCAAGTGTTCAATCAGGTGGGAAAGATATGCACAATACGTGATCGCAATCCTCTCAAAAATTACAGGCAAACATTTTCGGCTTTATTTCGTGAAAAAAGGAGTTGTATTTAAGCGCAAAATGTTACTTTCCTGATTTGTACCATTACGCGTTTCTAATTTCCCGTCATCCTTACTTAAAGGAAGTGACGTCAAGGCATCCTGACTAAAGTACGCAAAGAAAAAACATGGCCAACGCCTATTGTCGGACAAACCGTTGAAACCGCCTTGAACAAACACATTTGCAAATATGTCACTTCTGACTGAATATAAATGAAATGAAAGACCTTTATTGTACATTCATGCCACGACGGGCTAGGTACAGGTCAAGACTTAACAGACATATAACAAACGTGTAGAAAAGTGTAGACAAAAGATACACTACTTGACTTAGACATACATACATAAGGAACATATAAGGGTACTACACTAGGCTAATACAAAGTGTTCTAGTTACTGAGCTAATACAGAGTGGTCACCTCGCTTTTTTGTACAATGGAAAATGTGGGAAGAGATCATGTTTGTGATACAGGGTTTGTCTAGACGCATCAAAAATATAAATATAAGACTTGTAGCTGGGTATTGGTCCCCAAATATATGCTGCTTGTGTATAGATAAATGCCTTCAAGATTCGGAGATACATTGTACACATATATAGAGGTGGTCTGATCATGTAACGTTACTTGGTCAATGTTAGGATACATAAATTTAAACTAAAAGACTCTATAAAATATTAATAATGCTATCGTCATACGGAAAAAAACTTATTTGGGATGATGTGCCATTTTCCACTCTTCTTTCTTTGACAATTTTCTACCAGAACTGGAACACGAATGTAAAAGGTATTAGTTCGCTATCCCGAGGTGTTGTATTTTGACTGAAACTACATGTGTATATGCAAGACTGTGCATGAACTATTTTTAGTAGCCATGAGTTTCCTTGACAGAATGTGACATTTGCAGTTATGCCTCGTGTGAGAAAAGGGGTTTCCCCTCAACTATTTAATCGGTCATACAGTAAACACTGGGATCTTTTTTCCTAGAAAATAGACTGCCAAGCTTGACATTACCAAGTAAAACTAACAAACGGGGAAGCACCGAACTGCACTCAAACCTGCCCGATAAAATGTGGACAGGTGATAACTATACTATAACAGTTACTATACACTGTGAGATCGTTAGGAGCCGGACTTCTCAGGACTTTTAAACAGTTCATTAGGTGCAGGACTTGACACAGTTGATGTTTAGGATGTTTTAATTAGTAATAGTTTATGTACTGTGTATTTGTTGTGTGTATTTTATGTGTATCCAGGATTACCTGAAAAGCAGACCAAAATGGCCTGAGCTGTAATTACTGGTTAAATAAATAAATTGAATTGAATACTATAGACAGGGTTCTTAATGCTTAAAGCTTGTGTCAATGGGGAAAATTATGTAAGGGACTGCCAAAAGTAGTCATAATTGCCAGGTAGTACTTTAATATGTAGAGGTGTCCACTTGTGCAGGTTTGACTGTACATGTTTGCCCTCTGATGGATCTTTGGAAGACATTCGTGCATGAAATAACTGGCCAACCTACATATATAAAACTGATAGCGACAATGACAGTTTTTTTGGTCACTACTTTTCTAGATTTCTTTTTGTGTTGCCCCTTTCTTTCTCCACTCTTAAGTTTGTACATTTGATTTACTTTATTCGCTAGGTTTCTATATTGCCTAGGCAACTTCATTCTCTATATTACTACTTTGGGGATGGAGCAAATTAAGTTTGATTTGCTGGTAGATTTACTATTACGAAAACAAGAATGATGAGCACACAATCTGATAATTTTCTTTTTAATCGGGTAAACTTTGTTTCATCCTAAAATACCACATCAGATACTGTTATATACACTGTAGTCAGGATACGTAAAATTGGTGAAAACTCAATACAACACAAACTATTTACAATATTACTTTAATGACAACCATACTAGGGTGTGTACCAAACCTAGATTATTTCTCAGCATTTTCGAACATTAACATCAAGAGGATTCTTCTTATGGATGTATAAATACACATTTCAAGGGCTATCACCTCTACTTTTAAAGCTTTACATATTTCTTTCAGTCTTCCTTATTAAAAAAGTACTACAGACGAAAAACGCAATAACTACTTTTATACTTGATAACAGTTGTCACAAGCAACTTCCTCAGTTATCTGATTAAAAATCTTTTTAAGAACTAAATAAATATGATAAATAATCAAGGTTAGCTAGGAAAAATCTGTACCTGTATTGTCGTATAACCGCTCTTTGGCGTAACACACCAGCTTCGCAGGCACGCGGCGCGGCGGCATCTAGCTATATCACACCGAGCGACTTGTTACACTCAATCTTTGCACATTTAATTGCAGGAGTGTTTAAAGCTTCCTAGTGATGATGCCCAAAAAGGTGTAGTTGTATTTATGTTGGCTGTTAGCCTTGTGCCATCCTGAATATAAAATTTCAGACAATGAGCTATCCTAGGTTTTGAAAATGTGCTATTTATCTTGTCATTCCTGTAAGATCAGGCTGTTTTTTCATAATTCACCTTAACTACTTTGCATCTGCAATGTTCTCCAATTGTCTTCTTAAATTGTCTTCTTGTGCTGTACAAGTGTCGGCATGTACAAAATGAGCTGTGTAATTTGAGTCCGTCGTCACTTGCTCCAGTTCATCAATGTACTTGATTATGTTTTACGAGTAAAACAAGGGCGTTATTTAACCTTATAAATAAACATTTTTCCTTGTGCTGTGCAAGTGGTGGTGTGTAACGTTAAGCTATAGCTTGAGTGTGACTAGGGAGAATACCGCGGATTAACACACGTACAGCCGACCGCCACGTCCACCCACTCGTTCCTGTATCTGTATCCTCGTCCGGACTTCTTCTTTTTCCTCCTGGAGACCAACTTCTGTATCGTCACAGGAACGCAGACGTAGTTGTAGTTCTGTCGGCCGGTTGTCGTGTCCAGACACGCAGTGCATCGGCACCTGGCCTGGAGAATGTCGTAGGGGAATCGGTCGGGGTCGTGGTCTATGTAGTACGACCACGGGCAGACCGATCTCACGTTCAAGGGCAAGTTGGGAGAATTCGTGGTGCGGTTTTCGGGGCAACTATCAAGCGGCACTTTTGGGGACACACTCTCTTTGTGGCTGTTGTTGACGGTTCCGAAAACGGCCTGTTTACGGGTGGTAGAGTTGTTATGTGAAGGTGGGCTAGTTACAGGTGTTACAACAACAACATCTTCTTTATTAGATAGCGTTTTCGTCAGATGGTGTTTTACCTGTCTCAGTTGGCCTTTTCTCCCTTTACTTTTGGATGCATTGTGCCTACGCCTCTTTCTTCCTCGCCTACGGAAACATTGCCTTCTTCTCTTTCTTGCTATCAGACGCCTGGAATGTCTTCTCGAAGAGTTGACAGTTTGGGTTGAGTTGTAGCTGTCAACACCGTTTTGAGATGTTATGTTGGTATTTCTGAAATAAGAGAGTTTGCCGTCGTCTTCATATATCTCTCCTTTGAAATGACCAACGTTCTGTTGGTTGTTGTTAGCTGCATCCATCTGTTGTGTCTGCTTAGCATCTTTCTGAAAAGCACACTTGCGTCGGTTTGATCTTGAACCTTGCCTGGTGGTCCTTATTGAAGAGCCCGTCCTCTTTCTAGTATGACGATCTTTTCGGGTTCTCTTCGCCATATTTCTGCTCTCTGTCCTCCTTCTGTCTTTTCTCTTGTCTCTATCCGCCTCTGGCCTTCTGTCTTTTTCCTTGTCTTTCTCTGTCTTCCCTCTTTCCTTCTCCTTGCCTTTCTCTGCCCTCCTGTCGTCTTTCTCCGTTTTTCGTCTTTCTTTCTCGTTGTCTTGCTCTGTCTTTCTCCTGTGTTTCTCGTCGTCTTTCTTCGTCTTTCTTCTATCTTTCTCCTCGCCTTTCTTCGTCGCCCTTCTGCCTTTCTCCGTCTTCCCTCTTTCCTTCTCTTCGTCTTTCTCCACCTTCCCTTTGTCTTTCTCTGTCTTCCTTTTGTCTTTCTCTGTCTCCCTTCTGCCTTTCTCGTCGTCTTCCTTCGTTTTCCCAGACTGTGTTGTCTTCCCCCCTTTCTCAGTAGCGTTGGACTGTGGCTCTCCAAGACGGAAGCCTGGTGGGTGGTCGCCCTGTTGCTGCTTTCTTGCTCTTGTGGGCCCGTGTCCTCTCCGTAACCCTTTGACTTCGTCCAACACGGCTATGTCACTCGGTGTGACAGATATCTCAGTCGATTGAGTATTATAGTGGTTACGGTCAGAGTGGGTTTGCGTTGCCTTTTCTTTAGTGTGGGTGCCATGTCTTCCTCTTTCAGTTGTACAATTTTTGTCCGTGCCGCACCGACTTTTAAAACGTTGTGTTTCTCCGTTGTTATACTGAAAATCTGGCTTAATCTGAATATCTAAGCTGTTTTCTGTGTCGACGTGAATTTTCCTTTCTTTGCCATATCTAGTCTCAACAGTTGAAATGTCCAGTTTCCCAACATGGTGTGTGGACGTTCGTCCACTGTCTTTGCCACCGCTTTTGCCTGTTTCGTTCGGAATGGTCGTAGGGTTCATTTTCAGAGTGTTCCTTGACACGACGCGATCGCTATTGAGTTCCATGATCCGTGGTGCAGGGTTATTTCTGTCAAAAGTTTCCTTGTCTTTTGTTTTCCGCCTAGAGAAGGGGCTTGTGGTGGGTAACTCCCTTCCCAGTCCGGCATTGTAATCATGACCAGATCTATGTCCTTTCGTGTGGATAGTGGGAGAAGTTAGCTCTTTCCCTGAGTTTTTTTCTGCTACAGAAACTCGTGGTTCACCCTTAAGCCCTTTACCATTTGTAAGATCTCTCAATTTCTTCGCGAGATTTTGCTTGAAGACTTTTCTATGGATTTGTTCATCTTCATTAGGGGGAGGGGCGTTGGGAGGAAAAATGGCGGCCATGTTGGTCACCTGTTCGGTTTTTGAGCTCAGTTTGAACCTTGGTTTGCTTTTGGCGGGTTCGTTTCCAAAGAGATATCTGCTTGTACCAGGCTTCTCTGGTGTGTTTAGGCCCAAATTATTCAAGAAATTGTTGGCATCGTTTAATTCAGTAGCTTCGCGCGCGTTTTCAAGAAGATTGGCGTCGACGCCTGTGACTGCTGCCACGTTTTTCTCTGACCTCCTTTTAATAGCGTTCTTTCTTTGGACATGACTAAGCTGCGGGTTGTTGTTGTCAGCCATGTTCCCAGAAGAAAAATCCCCCTCGTTTTCCCTGAGGGGCGCTTCTGAGAAAGTTTGCAAGCTTCCTGGGTCTGTACTTATGTACAGCACTGCCGATATGCCAAGGAGACACACCAGGGACCCCAACACCTGCGGAAAACATCAGGAATGAGTTACCATGTAACGTTACGTGGAAGAGATCTGGAATATACGCATCATGGCACGTGTGTATGTCTCGGTTTTTGCAAAGCGTTAACTTTATGTTCATGCAGGTTTCAAATTTTAAGTAACAATAACGATAACTCTAATCTACACTAGTAGCTGCTCATTTTACATGGGTTGTTAAGTGCTTAATTTTTTTTCGCACACCTTAATTTAGAGATGTTTATACACGCTGCAAAACTGCTGCATCATTTTGAAGAAATATCCGCTTTTCCAGAGGAAAATAAACTTCCAGAATTTTCCCAGGGTTATTACCAGCTATCAGCAAGTTCCTCTTTTTCCTTGCACATCGAAGTACATTTATAATTCTAGATGCTAGAACCATATGCATTTTGTTTTCTTAATCCCTGGGGTCGCAGTTAACGTTGCTTCAAAAACTGCACCACGGGCAATCTTGCCTAGCTCGCTCTTCGAACATTACTACACTTTACTCACCTTGGACTTCGGCAATACCTTCATGGTGTCAGCAGGAAAGTTCGAGCGACACTTGAGAGGAAAGGACAATCATTATTCATGAGAGAGCGTTGCTAGTGGGTCCTGTAGCAAGTGTCTAGACTTCTCGCGTCACGTCCATACTACTAGCATTACTGACTTTTAGCAGCGTCACGTGAGCGAGCTGCAATGACGTGGACATGTACGCTGCTGGGTCGGGGACAAAGGTACTGTGGCCCAAAGGTACAAATGAGCAACACATTGACATTTTGTACTTTGGGTGCGCTGCTGGGTCGGGGACAAAGGTACTGTGGCCCACAGGTACAAATGAGCAACACATTGACATTTTGTACTTTGGGTGCGTCTACAACCCTACGGTACGTGGGCTCGTGTGGCATCTGATTTCTATAGATAGCGTTTGTCTGCTACACACAGCCTTCTTGTCTGACATCTATAGAACTGGAATAAAAAGGAAATAGAAGAAGTGCTCTCGTTCTTTTTATTTAAATTAAATTAAATTAAATTAAATTAAATTAAATTAAATTAAATTAAATTAAATTAAATTAAATTAAATTAAATTAATGCCGACTTCGTATTTAATATTCCGATGGCTCTCAGTGACACAAGATGAATATAAGATAAGATAAGATTTTAAACTAATCTCCAAGAAGATGTGGGGTGGAGGATCGTAACTTCTGACAACTGCCCCCCCCCAACCTGCTGTGAATAGGGGCTCAGGGTGGAACAGAAACACTGTGATTGACAAGACGTGTCCCTTGATCTCCAAGCATGTGTTCAATGAATGGAAAGACTGTGACTTCTTCGACGTACCGTTTTCTGATAGCTATATCAAAAAAATATGTCAAATCAAATTGTACAGCAAGACACAATTTAGCCTATGGCTACAAGGTCTTGTTTTGTTTTCACAAATAAACCATTTGATTGATTGATTGATTGATTGATATAGCCGAACAAGAACAGAGAACGCAACAGTTTAGCCTGCTTGGAGAGTGAGGTGGGTGGCTGTAGGAAAAGAATTTCAGTCGGAAAACTTTGCCATCTTCCACCCCAACATCTGCTTCGAGATTACTTTTTAGTAGCCTCTACCAGGCTTCGGGAGAAGGCTGGGAAAGAGTAGAAATCGGTCAAATAGAGAGGAGCCGAGGGAGTTGGTCTGCTAGAGAGTTATGTAGCCTCTACCAGGCTTCGGGAGACGGTTGGGAAAGAGTAGAAATCGGTCAAATAGAGAGGAGCCGAGGGAGTTGGTCTGTTAGAGAGAATTCGAACATTTTGCCGCTCCCGCAGCCTGGTAGAGGCTAACTTACATGCCCGTAGCCAGGATTTTGAATGGTGTGGGGGGGTTCTTCCCAGTGTGTGAGGGACCAGTGAGCGCCGTAGGCGCGAGGCGAGCGCCGAATGCGCGAGGTTCCTAGGGGGGTTCGGGGGCATGCTCCCCCGGAAAATTTTGAAAAATGAACCTTCTGAAATGGCATTTCCTGCGTTTTTGAGAGGATTTCAAAGAAAAAAAAAATCAGAGATGACGTTTTATTCAACGACAAAGTAGGCAGTTTTATACGATTCCAGCCACGCAGGTGATACGAATCAGTCCATCTAAAGAAAAATCTTGGACCTTTAGATAAAAAGTGGACCAAAAAGAGGACCTTTGAGCCTTGTGGGGGGGTTCTTCCTCCTGGCTACGGGCACTTTTTAGCGCTTCAAGGCTTCCTCAAGCGGCGGATGGCGGATTTCGATCGAGTGCTGGCGGACTTTTTTCCGCGGGATGGATCGGCGGCGTTTTTTCGCTTCCTCCACTTGTTGAGCAGTGCTGCCCAGCGAGCCTGCTGGCCTTTCACCGAACTCCGTGGCGGCAGGTCTCGGTCGGACGGAGACTCGGCGCGATCTTGCGGAGGGTGTTTCCCACTGACCGGTTGGTCATCTGCGTCAATACACCAGAAAATAGCTTCATCAGGTTGGTAAGGTATAGGATACAATTAGGAGTTTTCTTTTACACAACTAAGATAGTTACCTTGCTGGGACGAGGGGGGGAGGGGGGACAAGCTCAGCCACGTTTTGGATGGCATCCTCGCCGCAAAAGCGCCACATACATCAGCTATATGTAGCGGTGAGAAGCAGTACTCCAGTCAGAAGCTCTGAGGAAGGTGTCTGGCAGACACCGAAACGTCAGCAAGGTAAATATCTTGGTTGCGTAAAAGAAAACTCTTGCATCCTGCGTCAATACAATACGATACATTACAATATGACTTTATTAGTTTGACGTACAAATGTAGTTGTGAAACTGAATTTAAAACCGATTTACATGAAAAATTATCTAGATTTGAACATATTCATTTACAAGCTTTCAAAGATGTTGATGCTAATTAATTCTGGTTGAGGAGTTTATATACTAAGTATGTACTTTAACTAATGGAGGTCTATGAAACAAGAACCAGTACCTGCTATAGGTGGCATGTTCTTGGTGGCAATGTTTTCATTATTTTCTGGCACATGCTCGTTAGCTGGTCGGCGGGATGCTGGTGGTGGTAGGAAGTTGCCGATAGCTGGGAGTTTAGTATCCGATGACCGTTCATTCGCATTCGACTGGATGCCTTCATCCGATGGAATGTTAGCTTTTCCGATGACATTCGGTATAATGTCCCTGCTGTCGCTTTCACCATCGCCTGTACGTTCCTTGGCTCGCTCCATAGCCTCTTCCTTGGCTCGCTCCATAGCCTCTTCCTTGGCTCGCTCCATAGCCTCTTCCTTGGCTCGCTCCATAGCCTCTTCCTTGGCTCGCTCCATAGCCTCTTCCTTGGCTCGCTCCATAGCCTCTTCCTTGGCTCGCTCCATAGCCTCATTCAATTTGCTATCGTCATTCAGATCAGTGCTGTAGTCTGCATCCATCGGACGAGAGCCCTTAAGTCCATTGCTTGATTCCAAGTCCAACGTGGAAGACGAAGAAAAAAGGTACTGATGTACTATAGAGATGACATTTTTAATAGCTTCCACAAGAGTATCCTTGCCAGAAATCTGTACAACCGAGTTCACGTCCTCATTCACGTCCTCATTCGGCAAATTACGCGGGTCGTCCTCCAAACTGAGAGCCGGCATCTTTGCTTCTAAAGTATTCTTAGCGATAGTTTCCACTAAATCTTCTATTTCGGAATCCGATAGAGTTCTAGGTCCTTCAATTTCATATTCAGGTCTTCTTTGAATTTCTGCCGCTTTTTCTGCCGCTTCAAGTCGATCTCTTCCTTCCGCTTCTAACTTTGGGAAACTAACCCTTTCAGATTCGAGGTCAGTATCGTAGATGTAATCGTCAAAGTCGGGTTCTTCCGCCGATTTCAGGCTAGATTTTCCAATGGCATTCTTTAAAATTTCTGACGCTTTTCTTTTTAACGCTTCAAGTCGATCACTTCCTTCCGCTTCTAACGTTGCTAAACTTTTAGATTCGAGGTCAGTATCGTAGATGTAATCGTCAAGGTCGGGTTCTTCCGCCGATTTCAGGCTAGAGTTTCCAGTGGCATTCTTTAAAATTTCTGACGCTTTTTCTAACGCTTCTCTTCCTTCCGCTTCTAACGTTGGTAAACTAACGATTTTAGATTCGAGGTGAGCCCTGATGACGTCCTCGATACTGAATTCCGGCATCTTTTCTTCTGAATCTTCTAACGTTGATGAATTAAACCTTTCAGATACGAGGTCATCGAAGATGTCATCGTCAAAGTCGGGTTCTTCCGCCGATTTCAGGCTAGAGTTTCCAATGGCATTCTTTAAAATTTCTAACGCTTCTCCGAGTTTTAACGCTTCAAGTCGATCTCTTCCGAAATCCAATAGACTTTTAGATCTTCCATTCTTTTCAATTTCTGACGCTGGTTCTAACGCTTTTTTTAACGCTTCAAGTCGATCTCTTCTTTCCGCTGCGAAACCAACCCTTTCAGATTCGAGGTCAGTATCGTAGAATATGTAATCGTCAAAGTCGGGTTCTTCCACCGATTTCAGGCTGATGGAATTCAGGTCAGGTAGGGCATTCCCGGAGTCCAGGGTAATATTACTACTCACGATCTGCACAACATCAGCAAGAACTGATTCAAAAGCACTGCGACTTTGGGCTTTATTCGGATCCCGTAAAATGTGTATATTTTTCAAATCTTCTCTTTGTAAATTTGGCACATCTTTTGGTCTGGCGGTTGCACCGAGCGCCATAAACAGAAGCAAGACGAGGTTCAGAGGCGAAGCGACGCCGAAGATCATGGCTAAGGCTCGGTGGAATGTCCTGAATCAAAGATAAGAAAAACAGTACAGCATCTTTGAATGAATGATTTCATCAGGTTGGTAAACGAATGAATAGCAAAGTTCTTTGATCACAACCATTTACTTTTCATCTGTATCTGTATCGGTATAGCCGGTATAACCGCCCTTTGGCGTAACACACCAGCTTCTGTATCTGTATAGCCGGTATAACCGCCCTTCGGCGTAACACACCAGCTTCTGTATCTGTATAGCCGGTATAACAGCCCTTCGGCGTAACACACCAGCTTCGCAGGCACGCGGCGCGGCGGCAGGTAGCTATATCACACCGAACGGCTTGTTACACTCAATCTTTGCACATTTGATTGCAGGAGTTGTTTAAAGTTTTCTAGTGATGATGCCCCAACTGTGCTTGGTGGCAACGAGTTCCAGTCTACGATAGTTCTGGGGAGTTTTTGAATACCTCAATTCTTGGTTGATAACTCTAATATTTGAAGGCATGACTGTTTCTTGTTCTTTCTGGGCTGGCATCAGATACTTAGTGGTTGGTACGTCCACCAGTTTATTAGTCATTTTGTACATCATGCACAGTCTGGACATTCTACGTCTGTCTTCCAGCGACCCCGGCTGTAGGTTTCTTTTCATTTCCGTTACACTAGCATCCTTCATGCCCTGATGAAGATGACAGACGGTCATCAAAACGTCGGCTCATGAAAAATAAATGGTTGTGATCAAAGAACTTTGCTATTCAGTACAGCATCTTAGCATAAAAGTTCATCTGTGTTGGTATACTTCATTATAACCGAAAGGGCTAAACATTCTAGCCAACACTAAACGTGTCCAACACTGAACAGAGACGGGGGGGCGACACAGATTATCTGACACGTACGACCCTTTGCTGCAATCACGTGTTTCCGACGTCACGTTCCGGAAGCTGCAGTAGAAGGGTCCATTCCGTGAACGAAAATTTGGGTAAGTCTCAATTTAGTCCAAGGGTTTGGTAGTCCTTGCATACATCAAGGACTTGCTGAAGCACTCAGGAGGATTTTCATTTCCCACGGGATTGCAACCCGTTTCAAACCACCCACTACTTTAAGACACATTCTTGTTGCGCCCAGGATAAAACCCCCAAAGAGAAGAAGTGTGGTGTCATCTACCACATCCCCTGCCAGGGCAGAAACAACAAGGGGCCCTGTCAGGAAACGTACATTGGGGAAACAGAGAGGTCTCTAAAAGCCAGGTTTCATGAACATACACGGTCTAGCTCTGCCAGTTCAGAGGTGTCACAACACATCCTCATAGAGTCACCCGGACACTTTGTTTCATTTGACACTGTAAGGATTTTAGACACTGAACAAGACTATTTCTTGAGAGGATGAAGGAAGCCATCTACATCCGGGCCCATCACCCTTATTACCTTCGCCAAGAAGGTTATGTTTTCAGGGGCGTTCGTGTATGTGTGTGTGTGTGTGTGTGTCTGTCAACACGATAACTTGAGAAGGCCTTGATGGATTGTCTTGATACTTGGTAGGTGGGTAGGTCTTGATGAGACCTCAAAACGATTAGATTTTGGACCCCCTAGCGGCTTGTTATGGTACTGCAGCTGAACTTCCGGTTTTGATATCTCATGATCTAGACATGCTATGGTGATAAAATTTAGATGGTAGGTAGCTCTTGTGCTGGGGAAGAAGTGATGTGAGTTTAGGCCCCCTAGCGGCTTGCTCTGGAACTGCAGCGATATATTCTTGAAAATATTCAAAAGGGGATAACTCAAGAACCGGTTGACGGATCGTCGTGATTTTTGGTATGTAGGTAGCTTACGTGATGCTTAATATAATTATGTGACAATTATGCAAATATGGATGTAATTTGCATAATTTATGGGGAAATTCTATAAATCAGCTGCATTCCATGATAGGACAATTGAAGCTTGTGACATTGGTAATTGACAACGAGAGAAACACAGGAAGATATTGATTATGTTAATAATGACCTAATTTGCATAATTAATGAGAAAATTTTATAATTATGTAATGATAACTGCCTGGAATTTCATACTTGTGGTATTTGAAAGTTAGATTGAGGTGAACATCATTAAACATAATTTATTCAAATCAGGACCTCATTTGCATATTTTATTAGGAAATGCTAGAATGCATTGTTTGTTAATATAAGACTGTTTTTTTGGTTGAGATTATGATAAAATGATATAATTCAAGAAAATTAGGTTCCTATTTCTTAAATTGGGGGAATAATCTAATCTATAATTTGTCAGTCATAAAGATTAACATCATTTGGCGAAGGTATGAGATCGGGGAACTCTAGTTCATTGTAAGTCTCAATTTACTCAGTGTTGGCTAGAACGTTTAGCCCTTTTGGCCATAGCACAGCATCTTAGACACCCATATATATCAATAGATGTGTTGGTCTGTTCACTTTTATCAAATCAATCATGTAGTTGCATTGGATTCCTTTAACGTAAAAGATAAAGCCCCAGTATATCATATAAACATAATATACATTAACAGATTGTCACTTGTATAGGCAGAAATTTAATGACACTGGATGGTCCCTCAAGTTTGCAGAACAAAAGGCTAAGGACCGTGTTGCCTGGAGGGAAAAACGAAGAGGAGCCATGGGCCAGTTCTGGTCTAAGCATTTAGGCAGGTAGACAGGCAAGCATTTGTATATTAGTATAATGCGAATTTTATTAAAATTTCTGTGAAGAAAGAGTTGAGGTGTTTTGTATATAAAAGAGATTAAACAAACCCGGATAAAGCATCGAAGCATTCCGGATCTAGTATCCTGGTAATTATTGATCGACATAAATGTAATGTGTATTTATTTGTGGGCATGGTGGCCTTGAAAATGTGCACTTAGGTGCACCTGTTCCACCATGCCCCCATGTACATATGGTTAATTGTAATAAATAGATAGATAAATAAATAAATAAATAAGTATGTAGCGTTTGACCGTGCATCTTTCTGCTTATGTTGCTGCTCTACGTCGGGAGATTGTTTTTCACGTTCTTGGACATCAGAACATAAAACAGCGATCAAGAGAACCGTTAACCAGCAAATAAATACAAGTAGTTGTTTTAAAGAAATTATGGCTTCAACAGGGGATATAAGTATCTATCGGTATTTCAACTTATCACGGGTATGGCCTGAATACAAGAGGATTGGGGGTGGGGGCAAAACAGTAGTATTTAACACCTTTGCAAGTTGCCCCCCAAAATAGTACCAAAACAAATAATACAGTGCAATATCGTATGTTATAAAAGTTACAAAACAGCACTAAAACTTATGAAGTTTTCAGGCCGCGTTGTTTGCCGTGTGACTACAAAAAATCGTGTGGGTCGTGTGGCGTCGCGGTAGCGTGTTCGGACAAAGCCCAAGATAGAGGTCCCGGGTTCGAATCCTGCCCGGTGTCACCGATCTTATGCCCTTGGGAAAGCCACTTTACACGTCTTTCCTCACTTCACTCAGGTGTAAATGACTACCTAGCTTCGGTTAGGAGAGCCACACCCCACGCACGTTAAAGAACCCACCACACTTATCGAAAAGAGTATGGGACCTTCCCGGTGTGAGTGGCTCAAACCTTACAGTCTGGTCTCAGGTTTGACATCTTGAAGAGGTGATATTCACCTATCATGTCGATCCTTCCACTAATGTGGTAAATCTTTATAAAATAAAATAAAATAAACATCGTCTGACTTGAAAGTAGCTACAAACACAAACTTACCTTTGCTATAGAGATGGCAGCGACAGACGTTGGTACTGATCTGTGAAAATGTATCTGAGAGAGAGAGAGTGCTTCACAGCGTTCGTACTATATATTGTCTATCATAAAACACGTCATCAATTGTGTACTGTACCGTACAACCGTACACAGATCAATATAGCTATCTGTTTCTTTTTTTAAATTGTATATTTTGTGTATTTATTTTGTAGAGTCACACAAAGCATGGAGATAGAAACCTCCATGCACAAAGTGATTGAAGTTCAAATTCATACCGTATTTTCATATAAAACCTTTATTTTTTTTCCATTCCCACCACTCCAGATGGTTCGCCTTCATATGATCAAATCACAAATTCTCTCCACTGCACAAGGAAACCACACCACAATATACAATACCAGCTGTGCAAGCTGATACTGTATAAAACATACAAAAGTTTTCCACATGTTTTAAAGTAACAAAATCTTTACGCTACATAGTGGCAATTAAAAAAGCTACATGTTAAGCAGCAATTTGTAACAAAGTCTACAGTAATCTACAGTAATAGTGACGATCATAGTTCATTACAAAGTGTAAAAGAACAAGTAAAATACATCTTTTTTTCTCCTTGCTAAATCTACAATTACAAAATACAGGGTATCATACTTTTATATTCTTGATTATACTCACTCGAATGAGTGCATCAGCTTTTATTTTGCATGACGCTTATTTTTTTTGCTGACATTTATACTTCAAAATGTTTCTAGAATATAACTTGTACATAAGAAGTATCATTTTCAAAAATGTCATTGTTTAGGGTACGATTCAAAACTGAATGCATTCTTAGGATAGTTTTGCATGTGTTGTATAAAATTCAGCTGTTTTGTTATGGAAAAGTCTGTCTTAGAGCCTTGTCAGCGTTTGGCTCTGTCACAGCCTGTTTGTAAATTCTACAACATCAAAATCATACGAATGTGACCGCGCCATAACATAATATCATAAGGCACACACAGGATAACCCTATGTATATCTGAACATAGCCTCCATAGCATGCCAAAAACTGGGGGGGTCTTCATGGTCTTTGGGATCTTTTATGTGCTATTTTCTGATTGCATATAGACAACATAGCCGGCCTGGTTGAATTACCCCCTTTTTTAGAACTGGGCTAATCATAAAACAGCCGAAGACCACCAAACCCCAGTTCTATAAGCCTGCTATGGAGGGTATTGAGAACACTGGATATTTCTAAATTGATGATCTACATGTATATGCCCACAACTGTGTTAACATGTGTCTTTCCATTCAGTGCAGTCTGAAGAGACCATGGTTATGTGTACTTGATCGGTGAAATCATAATATATCTTTGGTTATAATCTGTCCATTACACTGAGTATACTGGATGCACATTATGTAACATGTAGAAGTAGTCTTTTTGAAAAAATATACTGTATTTGAATAAGGATTTTTACATAAACCCTTTCTATCTGCCAACAGATGATCATGTATATGCAGTGTGACGTGGAAAATATCTGAGAACAAGAACATCGTTGTGAACCCTGTATAACCTGGTAAGGCAGTGGAGTCATGTAAGAACAGTGTTGCAGTGTGGTAGGGCCTAGGAAAAAATGTTGTGTTTCCTGTTTCAGTCCTAAAAAAATTAGGGTCAGTATACGAAGGTAGGGATTACCTTTTTCTTCTTTTTTTTTCCTTAGACTTTGGCGATCTCTAGTGATCCAACTTATACAATACTGTTTAAGAGTGAAACCTGTATGAACACACTTCTATTTTCAATGTTGGAAATCCAATTGTACAACATTTTGTCAGGTGTCAGATCATGGAGCTAGAAATGGGTGATCAGCTTGAAAAAATTCATGTCCCTTGCAGGGATCCACACAAAAAAAAAGGCTAGGGTCGGCAGTTTTTTTCTTGGGTTTGTCGGGAAACAGGAAACACAACATTTTTTTCCCTAGGCCTAGATTGTTTTCTTGCCCTTCATATGTACATTGTACTAATTCTAGTAAAGTATATGTATATATCACACTTTTGGAGTTTGAGAGGAATTGAGTATTTAAATTGTTTTGACCCAGAAATGAGCCAAACTTGTATAACAGTTATATATAAAGGAATAATAAATAATATCACCAGCACCTTGCTATCAACACATATCACCATATAGCACCAAAACGTTCTTTTCGTGAAATGATATAGACTTTGCTAAAGATAGACATTGTTTGCGATTTTTTGAATCTACAAATTATTCTTGGCTATTTTCATGATGATTTCATGCACACTGAACATTGTAATACAAAATGTATGACAGACTTTCTTGCAAAACTAATGCACAAGAATCTCAGTGTTATATAATATATTGTAATAAAAATGTATCGTTGAAACATCTACTGTACAGTGTATTACATGTCTCGTGGTCTACAAGCTTAACCAGAAGTTTTGTAAGGGTCATGGCACATTATCCATTTTAAGTACCGAAACTAAGCTTTTGTAAGAGTTGAGGCACCAGGGTTACCTTGTATACATGACTGTAACATCCGTGTCCATAATATCACCAGGGTCCATAATATCGCCACCTTGAGAAACAGTGTGCTTAAAGATATTTTTACTGCAACATACCCTAGGTA